CCCACAAACCCTAAGCAAAAGGGGTGCTAATAGTAACTCGAAAAAAGGATTCTGTTGGGTATTAGATTTCAACTGTGTTGCCTTACAGTTGAACCCTAGGCATCCAAGAAATAATGTTCCTATTTAATTAAAAAGCGAATACTAGAACTGATTAAAGGAAATCTAACAAATAACATGACTCATCAAAGCCGACCCCAAAAAATCCTAAACCCTAAACCCCAAACCGAATTTGTGGGCCCTTGGGACCTTTTTAGGGGCTCTTCTTGGTGCAGCTATTGCCTGATGTCGATCGGTTGCCTGGGCCATGTCAAATGGGCAGCGAAGCTTTAAAACCGTCGGTTTAGGGATGCTCGGGCTAACCCTAAGGCTCTAACGACTCATATTATAAGGCTTCTGGGCCCAAAGACCATACTATATAAGGCTTTTGGGCTATTTTGGGCGTTAGGGTAAGGGTTTAGGGATTTAGTTTAACGGTTAAGGGTTCAGGGCCTTCAACGCCCTGAACCTCCTAAGCTACTGAAACACACCGTTGACAATGAGCTTCGAAAACCGACTCGCCACGAACTGTACTTCTTGGAGCCCAAGAGGCACACCAAGATCCGGATCTAGCAGTTGGGGTTTTAGGGTTCTGGGCTTGGGGTCCTATAGGGCTTAGGATAGGGTTTAGGGCCCTGGTATTGGGTTTAGGGTTTAGGGTTTTGAGGGTTTAGGGCCATTTGCGGAACACCCTTTGTAGGCTTGTCAAAACGTCAAGCCCACAAACCCAATAAGCCTTCGAATTCTACTACAATTCGAAGCCTTTCTTGGGGACCTTTTACCCAAATAGTATATACTTTGGCCTTAAAGCACTCCCTATATAGGTACATCGGGCTCAAAGTATCTACTCTTTGAATACATGGACCCTTCGGGGAAGCCTTTCTTGGCGCCCCTGTTTACCCACAAAGCCGATTTCCGGAGATCCCCTGCAGACGCTAAGCGGGAGGGGACTGTATGCTTTCTCTGCCCTCAACCCTGAAGCCCTACTCCGTAAAGCCTAAACCCGGTCCTAGCCCCTTAAGCCTGAATCCTAACCCCCAAACCAGCCAAGCGCAAGAATCCTTATAGAACCCTGATTACACTTGAAACTGAAGGAGACGATGGTTCTTAATAGAGGGATCGGAATTACCACGACTTGTAGTAGCATACCCTGCATGGCCGCAAATATCTCTATAGTATAGTAGCACCCAAGAATATTCAAACTGCTGATGGACAAAATCCTGCATAATGAAGGAATATACCATAGATCCCATAGTTTCGAGTCCTAATAAGGGTCATGCAGGATTTTGTCCATCAGCAGAAGTATAGAAGCTCCGCTCCTAGTTTCTGTGCCGTGTAGGGGCTCCGAAGCTTAGGCGGTCGTCTGGCTTTCCGTCTCCAACTCCTGGCCCAGCTCCTTTCAACGTGATTTGGGGTATGCAGGTATGTAGATGTGTAGATATGTAGGTATGTACGTACGGTATGTATGTATGTATGTAGGTAGGCAGGTATGTAGTTGACCCCAGACGGTGACAGTAGAGATTGATAAGTTCTAATGAGCATAAAGCTATTTTTTCGCGTGTCTGTTGGGGTAAAAAAGGTGGAGGGCCCCAACTCTCGTTTCATGCGAGGGGAATGCCACTACTTATGTATGTAGGTATAAAGGAATGCATGCACGTGTGCATGTATGCTTCATGCCTATGGGTGTTTGCATGTCATGTCTGTACAGCCATATGGATCCTTCCCTTAACCCTAAACCTTTAAGCCTACACCCCGACCCCTGAACCCCTGGCCCTCAACCCTCAAGACGGACCCCCCCTCTCCGCCCCCCTCCGGGATCCTGTAGCAGCTTGACTGTCTCACCGCACCTGCTCATCTTGCTTCTTAAGGACTCTCCACAAAAGCCCCTTACTTCCAGAATGCAGCTTGAGGGTTCGCAGTAGGGTTTAGCATTGAGGGCCCGGATGAAGGTTTAGTTTAGGCTTCAATGCTTCTTAATTTAGGAATGTATCTTAAACTATACAGGGATGTGTGGCACAGCTTAATGTCAACTCCTCCGAAACCAACCCTTCAAACAACCCAATAAAGCAGAATTGGCTCAAACAACAACCCTATCACGCGGTTTCAACGGCTTTACTCTACTTCGGCACCCTAAACCGGTCTGTCAGTGTGTTCAAACCTCAAGGAAGAGACTCCAAAGTGCTTAGGGAATAGAGGGGAGTAAGGAATGTGCTCAAACAACAACCCTATCACGCGGTTTCAACGGCTTTACTCTACTTCGGCACCCTAAACCGGTCTGTCAGTGTGTTCAAACCTCAAGGAAGAGACTCCAAAGTGCTTAGGGAATAGAGGGGAGTAAGGAATGTGCTCAAACAACAACCCTATCACGCGGTTTCAACGGCTTTACTCTACTTCGGCACCCTAAACCGGTCTGTCAGTGTGTTCAAACCTCAAGGAAGAGACTCCAAAGTGCTTAGGGAATAGAGGGGAGTAAGGAATGTGCTCAAACAACAACCCTATCACGCGGTTTCAACGGCTTTACTCTACTTCGGCACCCTAAACCGGTCTGTCAGTGTGTTCAAACCTCAAAGAAGAGACTCCAAAGTGCTTAGGGAATAGAGGGGAGTAAGGAATGTGCTCAAACAACAACCCTATCACGCGGTTTCAACGGCTTTACTCTACTTCGGCACCCTAAACCGGTCTGTCAGTGTGTTCAAACCTCAAGGAAGAGACTCCAAAGTGCTTAGGGAATAGAGGGGAGTAAGGAATGTGCTCAAACAACAACCCTATCACGCGGTTTCAACGGCTTTACTCTACTTCGGCACCCTAAACCGGTCTGTCAGTGTGTTCAAACCTCAAGGAAGAGACTCCAAAGTGCTTAGGGAATAGAGGGGAGTAAGGAATGTAGTATGGATCTTAAGGCCCAGAGTTTGATTTGTGCTTTGGTCATCCTTATCCTTATCCTCATTGTCATCATAGTCGTCATCGCCATCATCATCATCACCATCGCTGCCAGCGTATTTATCAACATCATCGGCAGGCAGCTCTCAACACATCATCTCAGCAATAGGAAAGACTATGTCATCAGTCATGGCAATAGAGGGGTGAATAGCACTCCCTACCACCGGAACAACCATGTAGTAATGAAGCTCGCAAAGGATTGTGCAGTGGCATGAAACATGAACAACCACAGCAGAAGAACGACTGGCAGCAAAACCGCTCCGACAGAAGAGCACGAACACAGCCCCGGAGCCAGCAGGAACAGCACCGCTACTGCATTACTTTAGTGACACTAGAGCTTGGGAATTGCGGTATATTCCTGACTATGGGTAATCCAGGACCATCAACAGTTAGCACCAACAGCAACACCACAACCAAACTACTGGCAGTAGGAATCGCAACGGCAGCGATCGGCACAGCCATCATCATCATCACCGAGATCTTCCTTTCTCGGGCATTAAACTGCCGTATAAGCCTACTATGAATATTCCTAGTGCTAGTACTCCTCTGGGACCTTTCTCTCGACAACCCTGCATATTGGGGTTTCCGAAAATTAGGGGTACCTTATTTTGGGATCCTATATAGTAAGGATCCTACTAGCTAGGGTACTATATTAGGATCCCCTATATTCGGAAACACCCATATACTCAGACTCTGGCCTCTCGGACCATCGCGACGGAACGGGCTCCGCCTGAGCTCTTCGAGGGAGGAGAAGACGGAAACGGTGAGGTATGGGTCCACATACCCAAAAAGGGTTCCTATAAGGGTTCCAGGCTTTTTTAAACTCCTATTTACGCCTGCCCGATGCTCCCAAGGGTTCCAGGGTTTAGGGTTTAAGGGTCAATGTACCCAAATAGTATGTACTTTGGCCTGAAAGTAGTCCCTATCTTGTACTTGGGGCCCAAAGCATATAATACTTGCGTACATGGACCCCGAGGGTTAGGAGTGGGCATTTCAAGCTCGGACCTCAAATATCTCAACCCTCGACCCGGATTAAGCAGAACGTGCTTTGGGATTGTAGGACCCGAGACATGATGGAACAAAGCCATGTACCATGCATTTAGAGGCTACCTGCAGCACCTAAGCACCTAACATCGACCAAAACTAGTATTATGAGTTCCTTCCATATTTCCTCAACAAGATATAGGTCCGGGCTCTGGAGCCTAACAATTAGGGCTCGCTGCTGTGACTGCGACAACTAAAACAGGAAAGTTCGACTGGATGTCTGACTGAAACAAACAAACTTGGGAGTTTGCGAAAACAAGGGGTACCTTATTTGGGGGTCCTTACAATAAGGATCCTACTGTCTAGGCTACTATGCAAGGTTCAATGCGATTCAGGGATTAGGACTTGGGGTTTAGAGTTTTTGGGTCAGGGTTCAATCTGGGAAGCTGCTACGCAAGCTCCGTCTTCCTATGCTGCGGATTCTCATAAGGCTCTAGCCCCATTTTTTCGGGTCTTCAAGCCCAAGAGCGCAAGACAACGGCGGTACCTGCTCCGAGGACCCAGTATTGTGGGCTTAGAGTTCTGATGAGTTTAGGCTTCAAGTTTTACCTCAACTCTAAACCGAAGTTGAGCCTAAGCCCTGCGTGACTGAACTCCAAGACGCAGCGAGAAATTTGGCTTGGAACGCTACACCCCCTGAACCCCGAAGCCTCAATGATGACCCGGATCCAACCTCTATCACCATTGGGTCATTGGATCTCTAAACTCCGAGTCCGTTTAGATCCCTTGCAGAACTCTTCGAAAAAACTTTTCAGGAAGCCCTTAAAAGAAGCTTTGCAGTTCGGACGTGGAATGCTTACAACCCCAAACCCCAGACCCAAACCCCAAACGAACCGTTAAGGACTCTTCGTTCCTTTTAGTTTAGTAGGAGTTTCCGAAAATAGGGGACCCTAATATAGTACCCTAAATAGTAGAATCCTTGCTATAAGGGCCTCAGAATCAGGTATCCCTAATTTTCGGAACCCCCCCGCCCCTTAGGCCTCTGTTCTTCGCTTCTTGGCCGCGCCAAGGAGGTCTGCGAGAGCTGCGGTGGTGGCCTGCTGAGCATGGCAGGAAGGGGAGTTTACTTAAAGGTCCAAAGGACAAGGACCCAATAATCAGGGGTTCTTGAAGGGTACCAGTAGGGGATCTAAGGGGATTTGTAGGGCTTTCAAGGGTCCAAATGATCGAAAAGAGGAACACTACTGTTCCTATTATTGTTACTATTCTTGAGAACTTGGACCCTTAGGTTGAGGGGTTTAGGACAAACAGGCCTTCACACTTCACACTACGATTTCGTCAACCGCATGCAACTGCTGGAGGCCCAGTATACCCTGTTCTATGTGGTTTAGCACCTTACCGTGGCCTAATACAGCACTTCGAGCCTTCACAAAACAAGCAATGGCTTTACATGCTGTAAACCCTAAGCCCCAGCAGAAAAACGAACGACAACGAGACTAAAGGTTGCAATCGACAAGGCACCTTGCTTTGTTTCTTCGCCGGCCGCGACTTGGCCGACGGCGACTTGGATGATGTTTTCTTGCCTGGGCTCTTAAGGGTTTGTGGGTTTAGGGTTTTAGGGTTTAGGGTTCAGTGTTTAGGGTTTAACCCTGAACTCCTACCTGTTTAACCTAGAGACTTTGTACCAACCCATTTGCTCCACGTACAGTATATATTTTGGCCTCAAGGGGTTACAATACCAAAACTCTGGAGCCAATGGAACCAAACTAGCGAAGGGAAAGCTCAATAGAAAGCACCAGGCTTAGCGTTACCAATCGAAAAACGTATCTGTCACATCTGAACAAGAGGATTGAAACCAGACAGCATCTTAGAACCGTGCAAGGCTGAATAGTTGCTGTCTGGAAAGATCCCAACACTTGGGGCAATCAGGGTTATGGAGGCGCCCTCGGCGGAGTTTCATGACTTCTCATCCCGCTTGTATTCCACTTACCTCAAGTACCCTGTGCCTTCGGTTGAGGTTGCAACAAGAAGAGGCAGAGATCGTTAAGCTCCTGCGAGGTCTGGAAACTGTGCCAAAGCTGCTCCTGAACCTAAACTCTGAGAATGTACACGGCTAAACACAAACCCAAGTCCTATCACCCTAAACCCTTAGCCACAAAGCGCCAAGCCGAGAATCTATAGGTTAGGCAAAATGGGGAACATTCAGGGTTCAGGGGTGTAGGGGTTAAGTTTAGGGTTCGGGGGTTAAGGAGCTTAGGGGTTTGGGGATCCCAAGCAAACTGCATAGCTTGTGCCCAAACTGTTTTGTTTAGAACTGTAAACCCCAAACCCTAAACCCTAAACCCTAAATCCCTGAATCGGCCCTGGCCCTATGGGCGGTCCCGGTCAAGCCCAAACTCTCAAGCCCCCAAACTAACCTAGCAGTGATCCAAAAGGCTCCATGTGCCCATATAGTAGGTACTTAGGCCTTAAAGGGGTCCCTAGCTGATTACTTTAAGGCCTAAGTGCCTACTATATGGGCACATGGAGCCTTTGGGGATTTGTGTCGGCGAGCAAGACAGAGAGAAAGAGAGAGGAAGATAATGCACGCATGCGCGCACACACACACACATACACCTTACACATTCCACATTTACATACACATCCGCATCCAAGTTCAAATCCACATTCACATACATGCATGTATATGCGTGTGTGTATATGCGCAACTACATACGCGAATACATCGACATGTACGCATACACATGCACATGCACATACCGATACAGGCACAAATACAGGTATATCGACGTATACATGTACATATACATATGCACATGCACAGTACACAGCAACATCTGCATGTGCATATATATATATATATATACACACATACACACACCTATATATCTATATCTATATATATATATATGTATAGTCATATGTGTATGGACATGTGTAAGTGCATGTGCATGTGGGTATGTGTGTAGGCTTGTGTGTATGTATGTGTCTCTGTCTGTCTGTCTGTCTGTCCGTCTGTCTGTCCGTCTGTCTGTCCGTCGGTCGGTCCGTCGGTCTGTCTGTCGGTCTGCCTGTCGGTCTGCCTGTCTGTCTGTCTGTCCGTCTGTGAGCATGTACGTATATACATACTGATTACACATACACACATACATACCTACCTACATACATGCATACCTGAAGCAAGGTCTGTAAACTTGTGCTTGTGCCATATGCTTACAGGGCATATATCATGCAAGCATATGCGGATAGTGACATTTTTGATACACCACTACCTCAAACTTCTATTCCCCCGCCCCCTCAAGAACGCATAACAGGCCCATGCTTGTAAAAGCTTGGCCCAAGCCCTGTCCCTGCTACATGCAAAGACCAGAAAGCCTCACTTCCTGAACCCGATCCACTGAACCCCGAGACCAAGCCCTGTGAAGCCTGAGCTGCAACCCGTAAACCCTTGCCGTTAAGGGCTCCTTTAAGGGATCCTTTAAGGGTTCCTTTAAGCGTTCCTTTAAGGTTTCCTTTAAGGGTTCCTGTAAGTGTTCCTTTGAGGGCTCCTTTGAAGGCTCCTTTAAGGGTTCCTTTGAGGGTTCCTGTAAGGGTTCCTTTGAGGGCTCCTTTAAGGGGGTTCCTTCAAAGGGCATCCGCGGGTCGGCTCCTGGAGCCATGAAATCACAAGGACCCTTAGGGGGAATCAAGGGGGGGAGGGGGGTAGGGGACTATACTTCCCTAAAATCGGCCTTGCTAAGTCCTTATGGGCATTAAGGCCCCCTACCCCAACCCTAGCCCTAAACCCGAAAAACCCTAAACCCCTAAGAGGTATCCGAGGCGTCCGCAAATCTCTCGACTTCGCCTCCGGAAGGGTTGGGCGCGGGCTTAAGGCAAAAGACGGTTTGCACAGCTTACTGTAGGGCTCCGTTACAGGGTTTAGGGTTCAGGGTTCATTTAGGGTTATAAGGGTACTACAGTATAGGGTAGTATAGGGGCCTTAATAATTTTGGTTAGGCTTCGTTAAAGGGTTCCTTTCATGGGGTCTAGAAGGGAAGGGTATATAGTAAAGGGGCTACCGGTACTTGTCTAGGGGCCTTAACAAGGGTCCTTTAAGGAGGTTTAAGGCTCCCTTTAAAGGATAATATAAGGGCCCGAAAAAATACCGATACTGCTGTTGATGGACAAAATCCTGCATGACCCTAAGGACTCTAAACTATGGGAACTATGGTATATTCCTTATAGTGGGTCATGCAGGATTTTGTCCATCAGCAGTATCTGAGGAGCTCTCTATTCTAATTATAGTGTAAGGACCCAGGATCCATGTGCCCAAGTAGGGTTCTTTTCAGGGTTCCACTTTAAGGGCTCCTTTAAGGGTTCTAGAAGGGTTCAGGGTATGAGGATCCATGTGCCCAAATAGGGTTCCTTTAAGGGTTCCTTTAGAGGTTCTATAAGGGTACCTTAAGGGCTCCTTTAAGGGTAATTACCATAAGGGCTCCCATAAGGCCCGAAGGGTCCAGGCTGCCCTGCCCTGCTGTGAGGGTATGACCATGACGAACTAAGTCGCTTGGCAACCCACGAAGTGGCAGCCGCAGGGGCCACACCGGAGGGGGTTCCGGTAAGCCGTTGCGGATATCGGAAGCCACCAAAAACTTACCTTTGGTTAGTAGGGAATGGAGGAATCGTAGTAATAGTAGTTATAATTGTACCCCATTCCTCCATTCCCTCCTAACCAAAGGTGAGAAAAATGGACGGTCTGCAGTACCAGTCTGCTGCAGCTTTGCAAACTGAGGCTGCTGTGCAAGCGCAGGAATCAATCCCTGCCAGTTGGCCCAGGAGTCTGGGATCCATGTGCCCAAATCGAGTTCCTGTAATGGTTCCTATAAGGGTTCTAGACGGGCACCATCAGGGTCTAGGGCTTAGGGTTTATGGGGCCATGTACCCAACCAAATAATATATCATACTTTGGGCCCAGCGTATCTGAATGGGGAGTATTATAAGACCAAAGTTTTACTAGATAACGGGACTAGGGCCCATTCAAGGTATGCAGAAGCGTTGCTAGCCCCTGGAAACGGCCTGCCGAGAAGAGGCTCCAGCTGCTGCAGCATGGCATCGTCGGGCACGAAACCTAAGCGGTTTCGGCTTAGGGGTTTAAGGTTCCTTTAATGGCTTTAGGGTTCCTTTAAAGAGGTCTAGAAGGGCTCTATACAGGGGTTTAGGGTTTAGGTTTTTGTGGCGGGTTTGGGGTTTAGGGTTCAGGGTTTGGTCTAGTGTTTAGCCTTTTTGGGGATGGGTTTAGGAGCTAGGGTTTGCGGAATGCAGTACACGCACTAGAAAAGCCCATGACGGTTGCTAGAAAAAAGTCCTACAAAAAAGAACAACTACTACTGGTTGAAGGTTTAGAGTGGATGAATTTCTATGGTTGCTTCGTAGGTTTGCACAGGTTGTACAAACTGTTCCAGGGAGTTTGTTGAGGGGGCCACATGGATTGCTGCAGAGGGGTGTAAACATGTCTAGCTACCCTAAATCCTAACATTCTAAACCCCAAAACCTAAACCTCTGCACAAGGCTGGCTGCGACCTCTATCTTCAGTAGAGTGTATCTGGGTCGCAAAATTTCGGCTCTGGGTTTAGGGTTCGGGGTTTACGGACCGAAGCTTGAACAGGAAGCAGCAGCGGCCCCTCGTTCAAAGCGGCCGCGAAAGCTCGGATCCCATCCGCGTTGAGTCGAAGTGGGTTCCGTCCGAGTAGTTTGTGGACGCTCCCTGCAGAGGCCTTGTCTGCGTTGTCGGCAGTTGCCGTTTAACTGTGCTCCCCAAACCCACCCTACTAGGAGGGGCAGGGGACTTTGAAGTTGTTTGTAAGTCGGATTATAATTTGGGTAACCTACTTATAATTGTCTACTTATAACCTACTTACTATGTCCTCTGCCCCGCCAAATATAAACCCTAAACCTGGGCGCTTCGCATCTTCGTGAAGCTGCGCCCCTTTCTGTCCAGCGGACCCAGTGGGCCCCCAGGGCCTACCCTAAGACTCCATGTACTTAAAGGATCATGGGACTTAGAAACTAGGGTTGCAATTAGGGTAACTATACTTACAACCCCAATTAAGGTACTTATAACTTATAACCTTACTTACTAAGTCCCATGATCCTCCAAGTACGCATATAGTAGGTACTTAGGCCTTAAAGGGGTCCCTATATGGGTACTTGAAGGCCTAAGTACCTACTATATAGGTACATGGAGCCTTTGGGCAAGTGCTGCCGACAATGGGAAGAAAGTCAACACCATGTCATAGGCGGGGCAAGGAGGTCCGGCGTAATCCACAAAGTGCTCGCCTGATCACAGTTAACGCCCATAGAAAAAGACCCTGATTTAGGAACCTTACAATTCACCTATAGTTTTGTGTTTTGTTCTTTTTCTGGTGGTTCCTTATACTTCTAATATATACTGAGAATATAACCCAAAATGTCCACACTGGCTTCTGATTATTAACGCCGAGAGCCCTGATCCCCGAACCAGCGTAGGAGTTCCAGTTACCCTGAAGACGAGGCCTTTAGATATTGTTCTGCGACCTTCTCTGAACCACAATCGCAAAACCCTAAATTTACTAAAGCCCTAAACCCTATATACGCGAAGAAGATTGAAAAATCTGCTCCCGAAAGCCGGCGCCGAGGTCCGGTCCATCCGCGACCATCTGCCTCTCACAGCAACAGGCTCCAAAATTGAAGAGCACTTACATAACCCTAAGGGTCCAAAGGATCTAACAACTAGCAATACGGTACTTGGGCTTAGTATAGTGGTTTTGTAGGTTAATATATGGGGGAGTATATGACTATTAGGTGTTATTAGGTACTTTAAACCTTATGGTAAGGGATGCTCAATCCTACCCACCTTCATGCCATCTTTTGAAGCCCTCGAGCTCGTGCATTGCTAGGCAGACGAAACGAAATCTTACAGTCACGGTCAAAACTAAGAGCTTTGCAAACAAACGCTCCTGTTACCCGGCAACTGTCAGCTGCGACGATGCATACCAACTGAAGCGGTCGGTTCTCGCATTTTTACCTATTCTCAACTCCTTCCCGAAGCACCATCGCCAGAAGACCCTACATCATGATTGGGCTCAACCGATGCCTGAGCAGCTTTTCTGCTACGGTGGCGCGGTCGTTCACAGAAGAAAGCGTGCAAGCCTGTCAGTGCATGACAGGCTTTGGTGTTCAGTGCTTTGGGGTAGCGGGTTTAGGGTCGACATCGCTTGATTCCAGAGCAAGAACATACCATCTTGCTATTCTCCTAGTACTGGAACATCGTATATGCACAGAACTAGTCGAAATTGTATCACACATAATGCAGTCGTCCTTCCAGAAGGCTGGATGGGACCCAACTTTGTCCAGTGCTCTCTCTCGCTCTCTCTCTATATCTCTCTCTCTCTCTTTCTCTCTCTCTCTCTCTCTCTCTCTCTCTCTCTCTCTCTCTCTCTCAAGGTTCAGGGGTTTAGGGTTTAGGTGTTACTCGGGAATGTCCAAATTAGGAATCGCTTCAGCAACACAGTTATACAAACATCGCTGACTGACGCAGTTGCGGATCAAACGCTGAAATACATGTAAGACAACTGCAACAGCCTTAACTAGCCAAGCCCTGCAAGTAGTATGGGGGCTTCAGGAATTCGCTGGCCCCAGCAATGAACGACCAGAAACGGCAAAGTCAAACCCTGAACCCAAGCCATAAATAGACATCTTTTAAGGACTCCGATTCACGGACCCTTTACCTTAAGTACTGCCCCCCATACAGTAAGAGTCTATAATATAGGGCTACTATTAAGGTCCTAATATACCTATGTTATGAATATCATTATTCGACTATTACTGAGTGGGGGCCGTACCCAACCTTCACCCAAGAAGCCCACCCTTGTTTTACAACCACATCAACCCTTTTACGAAACTCTACACAACCCCAAACCCATGAAAATCCTGTAAGCCCAGGAGCCAGCGACCTTCGCCCTGGGTCCTACGGTTGATGATATGAATCCTGCATTACCCAAAAGAAGGAATATACCGTAATTCCCATAGTTTAGGGTCCTTAAGGTAATGCAGGATTTATATCATCAACCGTATGCCCAAACCTTGAACCTGAAGTGCAGCAATCCATAGCGCAAACTTTACGGCACACAAGGGTCCACGTGTATCACCTCATGGAACATCATGGAGCTAGGTGCCAGAGGCCGTAGAGAAGATGGGCGTTGGGGTTGCTTTCCGTCATGGTAGTGCCTTTGGATCCCTGAAACCGTAATCCCAAAACGGGAAGACGAAAATCTTAAGCCCCGAACCCTACGCACATCCTAAACTCCTAAACCCACAAATGCCCAAACCCTCAGAGCTGAAACCCTGAATCCTCAACCACAGCCCCTGAGCTCCTAAACCCTGATCCATTAACCCTACATGCAGTAACCCTGAATCCTTAGACCCTAAGCCCCGAAACTCTCAGCCCCTAAATCCCATGCGAACTCGAGGGCTTTGCCTTGAGGAGATGAAGATACTCCGACCTGAGTGAAACGTGGTCGGAGGCCGTCTTCGCCAAGGGGTCTAGCGGGTACTATAACTACTATTTGCTTAAGAACCACCCAAAAAATAAAAAATGATAATCCCTAGATTATCCCTATAAGGAATATATTTTTTATTTTTTGGGGGTTCTTAAGCAAATAGTAGATAACGGTTTCTATTTAAGGGCGCTACGAGGGTCTGGAATTTGGGGTCCAAAGGTTCTATCAAAACTATCAAGTAGAATGTAACTATTGTAGGGATTCATCTGTACTAGGAATTCTTATTATCATGATTTGGGGAAGTACCCCCCTCGTAATCGTACCCAGGATTCTTTGAGCCTGCCAAACATATCTTTCAGTTTCAGGCTTCGGGTTTAGGGTTCCTTGTTTTGGGTTTGGGTTTGCAGTTTCGGTACCAAGGCCTACGGTTTTGGGGAGTAGGTTTTAGGGTATTTTTAGCATTTTAGGGTGCTTGGGGTTTGGGGCTTCGAACCCTAGGAGTAGTGTTGATACTATTCGGGCCTTTGTTGGGGCTGAGAAGGCTGAAGGTTTGGCGCTGTAGCTGACGGATTAGAGTTTAGGATTCGGCTTTGGGTTTCTATACCCGGGTTCACTTTGAAACTTCGGAACTGTCGAACTTTCAAGCTCAAAACTTCCCAACCCATCATTTCTTGGTTGCGTCCTATATAAGTCCAACGAAGTATGGACGAGGATCCCCGAAAGGCTCCTTTGCTCCTGCCTTCTTCTCCTGATGAAGAGGTAAAGGGGCTTAGGCTTTCTCCTAGGCTTTTAAGTAGCCAGGGAGAAAGAGGTACAAACGATTGTCTCATAATGGTGCCTTTAGGGAAACACATGGAAACACGTATTAAAAGTATGGTACTCCAAACTTACTGGCACAAAACAAAGGGAATGAAAGTTGAAACTTTCAGAATCTACTACGTTGTAAGAACCCCAAAAGTTGAAAATTTAGTTTACCGCCAACAAGCAAAGTCCAGTTTCTGCCTTTGACACAATCGGGGCCCTGGCCTGCCAACTTTCACGCCCGAGGCTTCCATCCGGTCGGCATCTGAGCGAAGGACCGGGCAAGTCCGAGTTCGGGGTTTGGGGCTTTGGGGTTTTAAGGCTGGAGGGCTCGGGGTTTGGGGAAGTCGGAGTTTAGGAGTTTAAGGCTTTTGGGGCTTTGGGGCTTTGGGGTTTGTTTGATGCTTGCGTTTAGAGTTGTTGAGGGTTTAGGGCTTTTTAAAAGGTTGCCAGGGAACAAAGGATTTTGCACAGGATTTAAGTACTAGTACTAGTAATTGAAACTCCAACCACATAAAAATGTTTGTTGAATTGACTGTGTTGAACTACGCTGAGGGTAATGACAAAACTCTTTATTTCTTAATGTTTTGGGATTCTCTGCGTGGGTGGGTATTATTCCATGTTCTAAGTAGCGAGCTAGACTAGATACTGCTCGACCAAAGCTGCTGAACCCTAATCCCTAAATGCCCAATTCCTAAACCCTAATCCCTGAACCCTAATCTCTAAGCCCTAATCCCTGAACCCTAATGCCTAACCCCTAAACCGTAATCCCTGAACCCTAGCCCCTAAACCCTAATCCCTGAACCCTAATCCCTAAACCCTAATCCCTAAACCCTAATCCCCAAAACCTCAATCCCTACACGCAAAAGAGGATGCTCATGGCCGGCAGGATTTAAGGTTCTTAGTAGGGGGCGGACCGAGGAATCCGGAGCGGCCGGGACGAGAAGGCGCGGCTCGTCGTGCTCGCCGAGCTCCAGGCCGTCGACAAGGAGCCAACGGGTGCCCGGGGGCAGTTGGCTCCCAACAGAGCGGTGGTTGCCCAAGAAAGGGCCTTCAGGCCAGACGCGAGCCGATCTGCTGCGGATCTGGGCACAAGCCCCAACCTCGGCCAGCAGAAACTGGAGGGAGGCCAGGGGGTGCAGGGACACCTTGTGCCAGGAGCCCGCACCTTGGTGGCGTACCTCCACATCCAAGTAGAGGATTTCGGCCTGGCTACGACTCGTCCTCGGTGGAGGGGGCCGAGGCGGGAGGGGAAAGCGGGGGAATGGATCCCTATCCCCAATACCCAGAGCCTCCAAAACCCCTTAATTAAGGAATATACCTTAAAGTATAGTAGGATCCATAATATGATTTAAGGTATATTCCTTAATTAAAGGGTTTTGGAGGCTCTGGGAATAATCATAGTCTCCATAGTCCATTCCCCCATTTCCCTACTAAGAAGCAGACAGATGAGGTCATGAGAGGGTCCTCTCAAAGGGTCCATCGAGCTCTTTAGGCTTTTGCGGGTTTGGGCTTAGACGATCAGACGATCCCTTAAGGGCTCCCTAAGGGGTTTTTTGGAACCCTAGTCATCGGGATATCCCACTCAGTAATAGTTGAATAATATTCATAGAATACATATAGTATAGGACCTTAATAGTAGCCCGATTATAGACTCTTACTGTATGGGGCCCGTACCTAAGGGATACCCTTTCTTTCCAGCTATTCGGTTTGGTCATCACCACGATGCAAAGCGATGACTGGTCGAACCCAAACAGCACCCTTGAAAGCCCGTAAACTCCCCGAACCCCGAACCTAAGACCAGGAGTTCTAAGAAAATCCCATAAGCTCCCTGAACCCAGAGACCTGAAACCAGGAATTCTAAACCCTGAAACCTGATCACCGGCACCTTGAACCCTAAACCCGAAACCCTGAGCCGTAATCCCTGAACCCCAAACCCTGAAAACCCGACACGTAAGCATGAGAATCGGGCAACGAGTCGCTTCCACTAGATCGCCCCTGCAGGAGTCGAAGATTCGGGTGGGTTAAAGGCTGCCTTCACCTACAGACCTACGTTTTTGTAGGGTCCCTAAAAAGACTCATATCAGGGCTTATTTTACTAAGAACCTGCACAAAAGTAGGGCATGCTAGTTTAATTTAAGGTAGGGGTTAGGAGCTGTATTTAGGCTTTGGGATTTAGGGGTTCGAGTGAGGCTGCAGGACGCGATTGAGGATTTTGGGATTTCAGGTTTGGGTGTTGGGCTGTGCTAGGGTTAGGGGTTTGGGGATGAGGGGCTTGGGCTAAGATGTCGGCAAGTATCTTGCATCCAGAGCGAGCTTGCGACGTTGGCTTCGGCGCGTTAAATTCCCGAACTTTAGACAGGTCCAGGGTTTTAGATGATAGAAGTCTTAGTGGCGTCGCTGACCCAAGACGAAACTGCGACATCTTCGTAACACTCCTGCAGATTACGAAACTCCTCTAAAGTCATGACAAGCTATCTCAAGCACTTACAAGAGCCTACAAACCCCTTGCAAAATACTGTGAATCGCGATCAGCGCCTACATTGCAACCTTTCATCCCAGGATCCTGCCTACAGCTCCTACAGTCGGTTCCTCTTGTTCCATGAGCTTCGCTGCGGTCCTAATCCTAACTTTAGCCGAACTGGTGTACAAAAAGGGAAGTAACTCTCCAAAAAACAGCTGGTACAATCCAACTCTGAAGTAAAAATGAAGCGAAAAACGGCACTGAGGCCAAGCTTGACATCAGAATCCTATCTTAGACAACGGAACTGGTCTGTGTTTAACTTACCCGGGCAAGGCAAGCCTACCGGTTACAATGTTTATAATATAAGGGTATTTGTGTGTGCGTGTGTGTGTGTGTATGTATGTATGTACCATTCTAGGTATGTAAGTTAATTGAAGTAAATATCCACTGTGGAAACAAGTCCCTGAACGACCTAACCGAGGGCTTCAGAGGGTGAATGGAGTTACCCCAGTTAACCCCTGCTCATAGCCGACTTGCTAAGTCCCCTGGGCCTCCAAGTATTCTAGGTTTGCACGCAAGGCGAACAGAACCATCACCGGGGTTTACGCACACTTTTCGCCGCGGCAGGTGTCTTGCGGAATCCTTTGGTAGCCATGCTGAGGATTAGGAGACTCAGGGAGATAGGTCGATATGATTTGTTGTACTCTGGTGGGGTTGTCTTAGTCTTGACCCTATAATTACTGATGACCTACTTACCAAGTCCCATAGGCCTTGAAGCATGCCTACACCTAAGCCAAGACCCTGGGTGGCCCATTAAAACCGTAACATCCCTAAACCCTAAACCCCAAACCCCGAGGCCCTAAGCCCTTCCCGCAGAAGCTCAGACCATTTTGGGAGCTTCGTCGAAAACAGCCTCAGCTGTCAACCCGCCCAGGAATAAAGGCGGTAAACATTGTAGGGGAGTTGGTATGAAGCTTTTACTTAGAGTTGTGCGCGTTTCATAAGTTTCGTCCGTTATAATACTGCTGATGGACAAAATCCTGCATGACCCTGAGGACTCTAAACTATGGGAATTATGGTATCTTGTTTGTAATGGGTAATGCAGGATTTTGTCCATCAGCAGTATGGATCTATATAAATAAACGATTTACAAGGTCTTCTCAGGTTTCATATGGAGGCATTGACGGTTTCGGTGTGTGACAGCAGTGTGGCTCAGCAAGAACTACAAGGGGATACCATGTCAGTGCCGATCGCATGAGCACCCGAGTGTGAACCAGACACGCTAAACCCTATATACCCTAAACCCTAAGCAAGACCCTAAACCCTATATACTCTAAACCCCAAACAAGACCCTGAACAATAACAAACCCTAAACCCCAAACAAGACCCTAAACCCTAAATAACCCTAAACCCCAAGAACAAAAAACTAAATCCTTTATACCCTAATAATACAAGACCCTTCGCCGAGGCGCAAGGCCATGAAACCTGGAGCCAAGAAGGTTCGCCAAGCCGGGGAGTTCCATGTCAGGTCCTTTTCTCTGCTTTCTGGGGTTGAGGGCTTAAGGGTTTGGGGCCTTCTGGGGTGCTTTAGCTGTGTTTTTTGGTGGATAGGGGCTTTAAGGATCCGTTTCTGTGATTTGTGGGCTTTCTTATAAGGGCTTTAAGGGTTAGGCGGTTTAGGGTTTCCCATTGGTCTGATTTGTTGGGTAACCTGTTACTGATCAAAAGGTTGGGATAGCATGAAGCACTTGATGTTTTATTCCTTCTTGGGTTTAAGTCCCACAAAAGACAAAGGCTAATTGGGCTTTAGGTTTGGTGCTTAAGGTTTGTTTGGGGACGTATATCTGCACGTTGCTCCAATGGATTGGATTCAGATCGTCAATTCTGTTCGGGGCTCTCGTGGGGTAGGCTTTGGGGATGACGGGTTAGTTAGGGGTCAAGGCTTTAGGATTTGGAGGTTCTGGCTTTAGGGCTTCGGGCTAAGGTTTACAGGGATTAAGACTTTACTTCGGGGTTTAATTAGGGGTTGGGGCTCTTGGGTTTAGGGCTTTCAGGGGCTTGTCCCTAAGTCCTCGGAACAGCTCAAAGAGAAATCTCAGCTTTGTCCGTGTTTGCTGATATACTTCTGTATACTGTAGCATGAGTGCCCTTAAACGATCCTAAACCCAAACCCTACCCAATGCCCTTAAACGACCCTGCAAGATCATATGTGGGCGATGAACCCTGTCCAAAGTATTCGGCCTATATGAAGCCCTAAGCATCTAGAAACCCCCTACAACACCCAGGTTCCCATATCTAGAAGCCGATAAAACCCCTTTTCAAGACTCGCTGAAGCCCTGATGCAAATTATCTAAGATCCTGTAAAGACTTTATGAAGACCATGAAGCTCTACAAAGCTACTATAGGGGTCTTAATAATTGCCTATATTCTTGTTTCCCGGGGTTCCTTATCATAAGTATAGCACATTGGGCCCCAAAACCCTATTCTCACATCAAGGCGCCTATGTAAATCCATATCGCCCTTATATTGGCCCTCACAGACCCGTTTAAAACGGAACCCTGTTCATTCAAATTATTAAGACCCCCATACCTACTTGTCGGGTATCATGCGGAACTAAAGGTTAACCTTTCAGGTTATATAGGGATTATGCAGGGAATATACAACCCAAAAAAGGTTAAAGGTTCCCTACTCTACTACTAGGTATATTATAGACCCTGTTCAAGTTTATTCTCGGGGCTGTAACCAGCTGCCAAGGCTCGGTAGAGAGCTCTTTGGTCTCCGTAATAGAGACCTAGCGGGATTCTGGCTTCTAGGCCGAGGGTTTAGGGGTTTAGGGCTTGGGGCTTCTCTTCTTCTTTGCAACTCTACGATGTTGCAAGACTAGGATACCCAGTAACCGAGGAATAAAAAGGCCTCTCTTTTTTTGGTATTGGGTAACTTTATAAGGAACCTAGGGCTACAAAAAGGGAATAAGGGTACTACTGGGCATCCTAGAAGAGTGTTTATGACATTTCCGACGTGGAAGGCTTTAGGTTTATGAGGGGCTTCCCAGGGTTGACTAATGCTGCATACATGTTAGGATTGAGGGGCTTAGTCTTGAGTTCATGGTTTGAGGGCTTAGCTTAGGGATTCAGGTTTAGGGTTGAGGGTTCAAGATTGTTACTGTTGATGGACAAAATCCTGCATGACCCTAAGGACTCTAAACTATGGGAATTATGGTATCTTCCTTATAATGGGTAATGCAGGATTTTGTCCATCAACCCCAAAAACTTGCACGGGCTCTAATTATGGGAGGCCCAATTTTCTCCTTCGGCCCTGTGAGGGTCTGCCTTAACCCTGAAGAACCTACCTTTTTAGGGTTCCTTACTATGATTTCCTTATATAAGTCCTTAAAAATAAGGTAGGTTCTTCAGGGTTAAGGCTAAGGTGTATCTTAACGAATGCTCGATGGGATGCTCGGCATACGGGGCTAAGAAGGTTGAGGGTCTAGGGCAAGGGGTGCTGCGGAGTATTCGGGGTTGCAAGTTGCTTAGGGCTTCGGGGGCTGGAGGGGGCTTTAGGATTTACAGTTTTAAAGAAAACGGCTCAGGCGAGGGCGGTTTCCGCGATTAGGTCCCCCCCCAACAGCAAACGACCTGCATTCTCTATCACGGGTGGAGCTGGAGCCCAAAGAGGCCAACTCAAGGAATCACTGACAAAGGTAGCTGGGGTCTCACCCTGAAAACCACATCAAATCGGCAAAGCTCCCTGATACCATCGGAAGCGTTAGCCGACCCTTCCAAACCCCAAAGGGGCCCAAAGTTGTGAAGCGTTGTTCCAGAAACCAGAAAAACACTTGAACTGAACAAATACTCTGGTTGGCATGGGTTCGCAAGTGCTTGCAGGAGGATCATGTGCAGCGTAGACTCCTGATTCATACGTTGGCCTTTTCTGTCTTATCATGAGTGACATTAAGGTCCCTGATGCGATCCTTGCATGGGGAAGGACAGCGGTTGTCAATCTAGGGTCTACACTCTGTGTGTCTATGTAATATATAAGTACATATGTATGATGAGACCCAGAAACGAAACCAAGAGATTGAACTTGGGTTCCCGGCAAAGCGAACAGGCTGCGAGGGTTGCCGATGCCACCCAAGCACTTTGCGGCCTTGCCACGATGAAAAGAAAGACTTGCACCAAGCACCACAATAGGGTTTAGGGTTTAGGGCTTTCACCACAACTACCAAAAGGGATGATGTGGTCTTTACGGATCTTGTGGGGTGTAGAGCTTGGAGGGCTTGGCGAGTGGAGCATAACGGGGAGCTCCCGACCATGTGAAGTAAATGCTTTAACACCAGAGTGTCATTACTTGGCATTCCTAGGATCCTTGTAATAAGGCTCCCAATTTCAAAAGCGCCAAAAAGCGCCTTCACCGAAATACATAGACCCGGGCCTCGATAAAAAACGAAGCTATGATGGTTCATTGCCGGGACGCACTGCGTGGCGTAACTGCAGAACCAGTTCCCCAATGCCAGCAAGAGCGGCTAAAGCGCAAAGACATGGTACGCGGAAGAAGTAACTCTTAGGCGTTACGGGTCCTAAGTCCCAAACCCTACCCGGACCTTGCAAAGCCTATCTTGCTGCGATCTGTTTTCAGGTTATCATAAATAGAATCCAAAAAAAGGTAGGCCGTTTCAAGTTCCGGATAGAGCCTGAACCCTAAACCTTACGACCCTCAATCCTCAGTAGAAGGATAGGTGGCCTCCAGTCGAAGAGGCCAATGGAAAGGAGGGTGCTGCACCTTCTTGTGCAGTAGCTTTTACATTGGGATTTAGAAGAATTTAGGGCTTAGGGTTTAGGGCTTGGAATGTAGATTGGGAGCTTTATGGATTTCTGGGGCTGAGTTCGGGGTTCAGGGGTCGAGTGTTTCCGGCGGGTGTTTACCTCCCCAAGCCCTACTCTACTATGATTAAATCCCCTTGTTGCAGAAGCCCTCAAGGGACCCCCTTTTGAAGCTTCATTCATCCCGTCGGAGAAGCCCTACAGGAAGTCTTGGGCACTCGGTTAAAGTTTAGGGTACAGGGCCTAACCGAATAGACCTACCCTTTTAAGGAACTAATATATATATATATATATATATGTATATGTATATATGTATATATACATATAAAACATTATGGTATTTTCCCACCAAGTCCTGTGTCGGGCAGAGAATGGATTCCGAAGCCCACTGGCACCAGTGTGCTCAGTTGGGTTTAACAGAAAGAATTGATTCAATTGAGCCCATGCTCTAAAGCCTCCAAAGGATACAGCAAGAGCACAGCAGAGCAAATGCAGCCTGCATCATGACCAGCCTGGCGTGGCCATCCACAAAGCCCACGCTGTACAGCTGAATTGCCTGCCCTGGAGACTGGCCGAAGCGGACCTCCACACTTTCTCTTTCCTGCAGCACCAGTTCCAACGGTCCAGCTTTTCCTTCGAAGAGATTCTTTGTTGAAGATTCAGAGTTTCGAACATGTGCTGCTCCAGCGTGCCCGGCTTGTACTTGCATCTGATGTGCTTGAAGCCTGTCAAAGTTTTGCACATAGCGTCGTCCTGAGCGATCTGATCCAACGTCGTGCCCTGGCCATAGGAAGGAATTGAAAACTTATGTTTGAAGTTCAAGGCTCAAGGCTCTGGGCACTTTTTCGTAGTAAGGAACCCTAAAAGAGGTAGGTCTTTTCGGCTACAGGTATGGTTTAGGGTTTATGGCTTACCCGAAAAACCTGGTCGAAGTGTTAAGATGAATCCCTCGGGCCCTGGCAAAGGGTTCCTTAACATGACTATACTATACCGACACTAGTCACTAGGATGCCCAGTAACCTAGGAATAAAGACGGCTCCCTTTTTGGTAATAAGGAACCTAGGACTACAAAAACGGGAATAAGGATGCCTAGTAAGGGTCCTATACGAAACCACAATTCAAAAATACAAATGCTCTTACACAAAGGAACCGTGGTCCAGCTTCTAACGTCCTGAGGCACCCATGGAATCAAGGGGCTCCAAGGACACGATGAAGGTGCATGGGGTTAGGATTTGGGGTTTTCAGTAGTCCCAAGTAAGCATGAAGAAGCAGTTTGTAAGGCATTCTTGATCCTACTTACCTTTATCCCACCTTTTGCGGCTTTCTTAACCCTTCTCATACCTCTTCTCGTAATCAATCCTGATAGTTTCCAACCACTTAGAACCCTTTAAGGGATTTCTTGGACCCCCGACAGAACGGAGCCGCTGGCGCTGAACACTTTCACCAGGTTTGCCCCCGTCCGTGCAGTGGAGGCCATCGCCTCGCGTTCAATGGTTTGGGTTCAGGGCTCATAGGCCCTACGGTTTAGGGTTTAGTGGGGTTTAGGCTTAGAGTGGAGGTTTTTAAGGTTGAGGGTTTAATGGTCTTGTAAGGGCGGTATAAAGGCTCCCATAGAAGGTTGCTTCAACTTCTTAACACGTTTCTCTATAAGTGAGCCCTCGGAGAACTCTTCAAAGAACCCATAACGGTTTCAAAGTACGAGAGCTTCGCACTTTCCCAGAGCCAATCACCTTTAATTCGCCTCGGCCCCGGCCGAAGCTGTCAGAGGTTCCTATTCGGATTCCTTCTATTCCCCACCTCTTAATCGCCTCCCCAGTGACCCCACCCTTCGCAGAGGTACCGCTGGACACCCCGCCCCTTCCCCCTCCCCCTCCAGGCCTCTGCACAAAAAACATGTTCCGCGTCCCAAACAGGCAGCGGTCGTTCCGGTGCCAGCGCAAGCTCCATCCGCTGCTGCTACGACTTGTACAAGGCTCAGAAACTGAAGCTTGCGAGCTGTCGGCTACAAAACTTACAGGTTCGGAAATTTGGTGTTGAATGTTGAAGTTTTTAGGCAGCAGGGTGCAGGGCTCCACGAGTTAACCCTTTGGCGGATAGCGGGCATCGGAGATACAAGCATCGCTATCGCCCAGCTAGGGGCTCTGTCGAATATCAGGCACAGGCTCCTGCTCCGCCCCACCCTGCCCCGCCCTGCCCTCAGCATGGCATCGATGCCGCCGTTGAGGAACAAGCAGCGAAGAATAAGGGTTTAGGCTTGAGAGATGAGGCTTTGAGGGTTAGGGTCTTACGAGCAGGTCGTTACGGGATGAAGGTGCTCAGTCTGCATACCTCAACCAGCCCTTAGAACCGGGAAAACAAAGAACAAAGGATACCACTTAAAACTAAGTTTTAGGGTTTGAGGGTCCTTCAAGGACGCCTTCACAGTGCGCTTGCTTCCGTCACGGCCGGGCCGAGGCGGACGACACGAAGCGCTTTAACAACAATAATAAGGGTAAGAATACGAATAACTATCATTCTTATTTGTTCTACTGTTGTGGATAAGATCACAACACTTAATAGCCTGTGTTCCAAAGGCAACGACCACTGGCGTGCGCTGTGGTGCTGGCGGTCTTGCCGTTGCTGAACTCTACTTGGCTGCATATGGCTTGATACAGGATTATGGGGTGGGTTCCTCAGGGCTTATACATGGGTTTCACAAAGGTGGGAGTGCCTTCTTGTCCCACGTCTTGGCGCATGCCACTCGTCTATGCGGGCATCATAAAGCTAGGCGTGCCATTTTAGGAGTCCTCGTAAGAACGTGATATAAGAACTACCCCACTCTCTGGGGTCCGTCTTCAGGTCTCCCATATATGGTTGGGGTAAGGATTGAGAACAAATGATGCTTCTGCAGCCGGTAGCGAACGCATGCTCTTGCTCGATGTAGTCTGTGGAAAAACCTACAGTCCCAACACCAAAGCTTTGCAAGCTCTAAATGGGACTTTCCAAAAATCGGGGACCCTGATATAGTATCCTTTATTAAATAGTCGGATCCTTATTATAAGGACCCCAAAATCAGGTACCCCCAATTTCCGGAAGCTCCCAAATCGTACTCCGAACCACGCCAGCGCCCTCAACCCTGCACCAGGCAGAGGAATTGCTAGAAATAGAAACAGGGAGGATCATCCTTACGACAGAGGCACCCAAAACGGACTCCCCTTCATCGTGATCATAAGCCTTAGGCAGCCCTAACCCCGAAACCCTAAGCCCAAAACCGCAAACCCCGTGAGGCCAGTGGCGAAGCCGAAAAGGCTGTCGTAGACCACCTGGGTGTTAGGAGAATGGGCCTTCAAGTGCCTCATCCAGGGGCTCAAGAATCAGCATGGCTGCAGGTGTTGTTGCTTGAATTTTTCTGAATGGATGTGTGGGTATTAAAATACGTAGAAGGGTGTTCACGATATAGGCAGTCTAGGGCATAGAAGGGTCTGAGTGTTCGGGTATAGCTTTAAAGTAGCTTAGGTCTACGGAGGCTGGAGCCTTAAGGACTTCAACACCTGTGCTCCCATTGAACCATATGGGCGGTTGTCAAAATTATGGTCCCCTTTGGGGTACCCTACATATTAAGTGCCGTACTATATTAGGTACCCAAAACGGCACCACAATTTTGACAACCACCCATATTTTTGGGAGAGTCAGATTCCCGTCAACGGAACCTGGCCTGGTTGTCCAAGTTATCCATAAAAGGACACCAATGTAGTCATTCTAAGGTATAGGCAGTATTGGAAATGGTTGTACATGCACGGCTTGGCGTTGAGGGTTTTGCAAGTGATGTAAAAATCCTTGCACCCCTATTACATCTTAAGCTGGCGTCTGACTTCTGGACAAGAAGAGTGCAACAAACAGATGGGACCATTGTGGCAATCATATATCACGGTCTCTTGTTTTTGAACCTGTTCAGTCTCCGACGCACGCAAAATCTGAAACTGGCTGGATGTCGGGGATATGGTTGCCGTACCTGCAATCACAGCAGGTGCGCTCCTTTTCCCTTTGATATTCTTACCATTAGGGAAGTGGCTCCATGACCGAGGCAAGTGGCTAGAAGAGCCACGATCGGCGAGTAGCCGCTGAAAAGCCCGCGACTGGGCGATCGGAAAAGAGCCTCAGGGAATCTTCAGGAGTTTAGGGTTCTTTTAGAGGGTTCTATATGGAATCTACAGGGATTTAGGGTTTTAAGGGCTTTAGGGGTTTAGGGTTCTGTTAGAGGGTTCTATAAGGAATCTATATGGGTTCTACAAGCAATCTATGGGGGTTACGGAACTGTTACGGACTTGGGGATTAGGGGTTTTCGGGTTTAGGGGTTTTAGGGTGTAGGGCAGTTTAGGCTTTAGGTTAGTGCTTAGGGGTGTAGGGTTTATTTTGGGGTGTAGGAAGTAGGGTTTAGGGTTCAGCCTGAAAGTGTCCCTAAAGGACTTCCTATGCAGTTTCAGTATAGAACTGAAGTTCACGAAATGCTGCTAATTCTATTCACCTGCCTGTTCGCTCTGGTCTAGGGTTGAGAGGCTTTACGGTGTAGGGTGTTCGAGCTTCGGGGTCTAGTTCGGTGTGCGGTATAAGTCAGAGTTCACCCACACTTCAAGGAAGAAGGAACTTCTGATGAATACAGAAATACGATACCCTGAAGGCTGTGGGACTCAGACCTGTCCTAAAACCCTAAACCTTAATGCCGCTGTCTGCAGGATTTCGACATCCGGGGTGATCTCGGCTTCGACTCCGGCAGAGCAAGGGCTACTAGACCCAAGAGTAACCTAGGAATAAAAAGGGTGCCCTTTTTGGTTTAAAGGGGCTTATAAGGGAACCAGAACCCCAAAAAAGGGAATAAGGGCCTACTCTAGGTCCTAGAACCCTAAACCCTAAACCCTATAAACCCTAAACCGTAAAGGAGGTCCTAGGCTAGTTAGGACGAGTTGTGAACAGAAGCAGTGGGGACCTTGGCGGTCTTGAAGTTTCATGACTTGGGTTTAGGGTTTAGGGTTTATAGGGTTTAGGGTTTATAGGGTTTAGGGTTTAGGGTTTAGGGCTTAGCATCATGATGGCTTCGGATTTGGACAGCAATGAGAATTAAGGCAGAAGTGTAGGTTTGTTGCCGTTGGTTGTGGCGGCTTCGGCAGAGGATGCGTTCCGAGAGGCTGGTATGGTCATAAGCAGAGGGACCAAATGCGCAAATTCCCAATGTTCAGCCAAGATGCAAATGCCAGGGCAGAGATCACAAATGTGTACCTCGGCAGATGTACAGTTGGCCCCCGCCCCCGCACCGACACAAGCGCAACCCCATATCATGCATATAATTACATACACACACAAGGGACGCTATTCGGGCGCTGTTGAGATACTGCTGATGGACAAAATCCTGCATGACCCATTACAAGGAAGATACCATAATTCCCATAGTTTAGACTCCTTAAGGTCATGCAAGATTTATATAATCAACCGTATCGGTTCAGGTTGCAAGTTGAGTGTTTGCTCCTCTTCCTCCCGAGGAGGAACAGGTGGCACCTGAAGGAGAAGAGAAGCACACCTTACAGTCGGGCTGCGTTGCTACGATCATGATATCTGTCAGAACATGCATGCATGCATGTGTATAGCTTTGTGTACTTACTTACATATATATATATATATGGTCACCCCCCCCCCCCCAAGATCTACATCCGCCTCTTCCACACAATTCCACAAGTTGCTTCTCTACATTGGTCGACTACTCATATATGCCGAAAACACCGTAAATTCCGATACAATTGTGCTTTACTCCATGTGCATGCAAACAGTACAGCTACAAATCGCGGGTTTGATATGTGTAAAAGTCTGGCGCCGAATCTCGGCAGCTGATTTATGGTAGTTTATATGTTGGAGAAGCTGAAATGCTGGAGGGCGTGCTATTTTTGTTCAGGTAGTACTAAAAAACCTCGTGTTTTTTGCGTTTTATGGTGTGTTATTTAACGACATTCCTCTAATAATGAAAATACTATTGTCTTTCTTACGAGAACGTCTGTGTGCGTGGGCCATCTCTTTCCCGCTGCTCGTGAGCGTCCGATTCTGATGCGGCCTAATAGCTCTAGCATTTGATTTATGAGTTACGAAACACAATGAGCTCCTTTCATGTCTTGTCCGTAAAACATGGAGGAAGTCGAATATACGGGCGCATTTATTTTTGAAGCAATACTCCAATAGTTGTTTTTTGCCTCATAAAAAATGGGAAAGCTCCCTTGGAGTTGGAAAATTCATGTGCATATGCGGGCGCACAAGAAGGCTCGTCTGCAGCAAGAAGTAAGAGAGCTCTTGCAACCTTCCAAACATGAACCAGGACTAATTACGACTGGCTGCATTAATACGTATCAATCACAAGGCAGGGGCTCCTTAACCTTGTAAAACAAAGTAAAATGGCACTTCATGGAAGAAAACTCCTCTTTATGTTGTGAGTCGATATTAAAGGCAGCCATGTGCATAGCAATCGCTATCTATTTTTGAGGGTACTCGTTTGGGCCATGAGTTTTCATTCGGTTAACTCTTATTGATGATGCTGTCCTATACCCCGGAGAAGATGCCGATCGCTATGTCCATGGCTGTTTCTCTAATTGCTGTCATAGAACGTAGCGGAAAAAGTAGCTCTCTTCAATCTTCAAGCGACACTCCCCAGATGTGATCAAGAAACGAAAAGAAACTTGCTTACTGGTATCTTTTATTAAACGGGCAAGAGGCATAAGACTTGTATCGGTTTCTACACCTCCCTCACATCCTGACATAGCGATACCGGTCCTTCTGTATGTGACTGTGGTTTAAACGCTGTCATAGTTCGTATCACAACATGAAAAAGAGCTCTCTTCAGTCTTCAAAGACTACAGGTGACATCGTAGAATTCTCTTCTGGGTTAGCAGGAATCTTCATGTCTCTTGCTTGATAGGTATGAGGATGTCTCATAGGAAACCGAATAGGAAGTCTCCATTGTTTCTGATGATAGCAAAATGCAAACAGTTTCCCACAGTCTTCAACATGAAATGAAATAAGTTCTAGATAGGCTTGCGCTGCTACAGTGATGGATCTGTAGGCGGTGCAGCTTGCCGAAGAATGGCCAAAACCATTTTCGAGAAAGCTCAGGTACTGGGGCCAGTGCTGCTGGTGCCATAGATCTACCAGCCAACGAAAACATATATGAAATAAACTATGCAACGACTAGGCCTTTTTCATACTTACCAAACAAGAGTAATGAAAACCGTTGTTGTTCCAGAAGACACATAAATCATTACTTCCAGTTCTTGACAACGGTTGAAAGCACAATTATCTTGTGATGCAATATATCCTGTCCTGGACATCAGAAAACACTGTGATGCTCAAAAAACTTCCAAAATTTCCAGCCCTGAAACTCACGAAACACTGTACTGCTCAAAAAAATCCCAAAATTCCAAAATTCTGGCATCTATGGCCAGGCCGGGGGCAGATTCCTTAAAAGTTTGGAATTTTTTGAGCATAGCAGTGTTTCGTGCGTTTCAAGGGTTGGAAAAGTTGATTTTTTTGAGCATTACATGTTTTGTGCGGTTGAACCGCACCTCGTCCGGGTGGATTTCCATGGCTTCGTGTGCGGCAAGATTTCAATAGGCTTGGAGTCACACTTGATTGTGCACAGGTGCGCACCCATCACATATCGCATGTCCCTCTTCACTAGACCCTCTCATAAACACTCACTCGCTCAAGATTTCGGCTGTGGGAGAACGAGACGGACCAGGCGGTTTTGGTTTTTGGACCAGCATCACCAGGTTTGGGGGCGGACAAGACACGCGCATCATGAGCATCAGCGGTGCTGCTTGGCAGTGCAATAACTGGAGCCGCTACCCCATGACCTCGTTGTTGAGTGGTGCATTAAGCAAATTCACTTCTTTTTGACCATGATCAATCTCAAATCTGACCAGGCGGCTTTTGGTTTTAGGACCAGCCCCGAAGCCGACTGATGCTCATGAGGCCACGGCTGATGCTCATGTTTCTACACGTCCTCGAGTTTCCAGATTCCAGATTTGCAGGATAAGTTCCAGATTCCAGATTTCCAGATTTGAAGGCTCTAGGTTTTCAGATTCCAGATTCCAGATTTCCAGATTTGCAGGCTCTAAGTTTCCAGATTCCAGGTTTTCAGATTTGCAGGCTCTAGGTTTAGGATTCCAGATTCCAGATTTCCAGATTTGCAGGCTCTAAGTTTCCAGATTCCAGATTCCAGATTTCCAGATTTGCAGGCTCTAAGTTTCCAGATTCCAGATTCCAGATTTCCAGATTTGCAGGTTCTAGGTTTTCAGATTCCAGATTCCAGATTTCCAGATGTGCAGGCTCTAAGTTTCCAGATTCCAGATTTCCAGATTTGCAGGCTCTAGTTTCCAGATTCCAGATTTCCAGATTTGCAGGCTCTAAGTTTCCAGATTCCAGATTTCCAGATTTGCAGGCTCTAAGTTTCCAGATTCCAGATTTCCAGATTTGCAGGCTCTAAGTTTCCAGATTCCAGATTCCAGATTTCTGGAAATCTGGAAACCTTAGGGTGAGCAAATCTGGAAATCTGGAATCTGGAATCTCTGGAAACATAGTGCCTGCAAATCTGGAAATCTGGAATCTGGAAACCTAGAGCCTGCAAATCTGGAAATCTGGAATCTGGAAACTTAGAGCCTGCAAATCTGGAAATCTGGAATCTCTGGAAACATAGTGCATGCAAATCTGGAATTTGGAAACCTACGTACTCCAGAAAGCCGGAAATCAGGAAATCCAGACTCCGAAAACCTGCAGACGTAGATCTTGGGGGGGGGGGGGGCGAGCATATATATATATATATATATATGTGTGTGTGTGTGTGTGTGTGTGTGTGTGTGTGTGTGTGTTTGCATGGACGTATGATTGCATGGATGTATGATGGGGTAAGTATGCATGTATTTCTGTCTGATTCTTTGTATGTCTGTCTGTCTGTACGTACATATGTGTTCTTGCATATATATATATATGTACAAAGAGAGACTTTTGTACCGGGCGTAATGTATCGAACATATGTATACTATGTCTTGGTGGATGCGATTTACCGAATGAACTTGATTATCTGCTTGTGTATTCACTCATGTCCTACTACTTATGTGCTTATATGTGTATGTGAGGATAGTGCTGACAATGAACTTCATGGTGATGCTACAAGCGACGAAGAATATCATGGTGATGCTGACTGTGATGATGATGCTGCTCGTGCTGGTGGTTGTCATGATGGGGACGATGATGAAGATGCTTACTAGATCTGGACCTCGTTAAGTATACTGAACTTAGAACCTTAGCAACAACTATAATTTCAGCTATTTCTTGGGGATTACAATAACCAAAAAAAATAAAACTATTTCTAAGTACCCCTAAGTTAAGATTGCGGCCGGTGCAGCTCAGACCCGCTCCTTTTTCAGACAGACTCCGCAACTCAGCTGGTCGGCTGGAGCCCCTAGTTGTCCAGTTCTGTGGCCTAGAAGATTAGGTATAATCCGTTTTTCATGTCACAGGTATATATATATATATATATATATATTTTTTTTGCTTTTGGTGTTTTTTTGCGGGCCCTTTTCCGACTGCATTACCAGAGGGAGAGGGATAAGTTTAGGCTTTAGGGTTTGGGGTTCAGGTATTATCTAGACAGAGCTACCCAGCTGTATAGCCGACAATCGTCCAGAGCCACTCGACTCGACCGGATGGGTTGCATTGAACCCGGCTTCGAACTACTTGATGTCCCCAGAGCCTCCAAAACCCCTTAATTAAGGAATATACCTTAAATCATATTATGGATCCTACTATACTTTAAGGTATATTCCTTAATTAAGGGGTTTTGGAGGCTCTGGGTCTGCAGAAAGCCGAACATTTCTGCAAAGCCCTACGAAAAGTGAGACACATAACACCACAAACAGAGTGTAACAACGTCCTAAACCCTAAACCCTAAACCGGCTGCGGCTCAGGTGACCCATGGAAGGCAGAAGTGAGGCTGGCCTCTGTGGCCTTGGTTTGGGGGACGGAAGTACCCTAAACTATAATATATGAGTATTAGCATTATTAATAATAAGAATAATAATAATAGTAATAATAATAACAATAATAAGAATAATAAGAATAATAATATAAATGTATTCATGGTAATATCGACATAATTGAGTTACCCGAATTATATCCGATTTACTTCATCCCCGGTGCCTCAAAGTAGGCTACCGAGAGCTACTTGTTTGTAGGGACCCTCTCGATTCGACATTAGGTTTTGTAATTCGAACCCACAAACAAGTCGGTTATGATAGCTTAAGGTGCGTATTAAACTACAGTGGGGTTTGGGGGTATGGTATACTATAGGTATACTGCAACATGCAAAATTAAACTAAGGATGAAAAAGGGTAAACACCGACTAAGATTACGATGCCTGTTTCGACCCCGATATTAGGACTTAGATGAAAGGGTAGAATACGATGCTTGGGTATATTATAGGTTTATGAGGACTATAAGGGGCCGTATGCATCATTGCTGCTTCTTCCAACCGCTCTGTTGGAGTCAAAGAGGGTCTCACAGGCGGTCACATCGTGCCAATAAGGGCCCTTTAGGGAATCCTTTAAGGGCTCGTTTAGGGCTTCAAGGGGCTCCGTGAGGAATACTTTGGGGGCTACTTCAAGGCGCCTGTGAAGGCTACCTTAGCAGTTACAATGTAAGGTTTACTTCAGGTGGGTTGGGTGGGTTTGAGGGTTGATGGACTTTCCCCTCCAGGATGTAAGGACCCATAATTAATGAGATGAGTAGTCACTGTAACAATAGCGCTAATTAGTTATACCTATAAGTCATAATCAATCATGGAGCCTAAACCCCTGAACCCTGAACCCCTAAACCCTAAATCCCTGCCCCTGCTCCGTCTGCAGGTGCGAGGAGCCCATCGCAGCTGCTCCTCCTCACTGACCATTAGCCTGGCGTCAAGCCATCTTTGGAATGCTCTGTTGCGGCCTTTCCTAAAAACCCTAAACCCTTAGGGCCTTAGGATTTTAGGGTTTAGGGCTTAGGGTCTAAGCCCTAAACGCCGAATCCTAAACAAAAAACCCTAAGCCAGAAACCTTGTGGGCTTTTGGTTCGGGCTAGGTTGTGTAAATATCTGAGTTGTACTTTAAGCCCTTTGAAAATTATGTGCTATTATGGTTCTCTACAAAATAGTAGGGGAAATCAAGGAAGATCCTAAAGGACAACCCAGATATAAGGATGAGGGATTGGCGGAGCTCTTGTTTCGGGGCTTCCGAGGTTTTGGTTTTTGTGTTTAGGGGGTTTCGGATTTAAAGATGACTTGGCTCTGAGGGATCTAGGGTCCAGTTAGGGTTTGGGGTCAGAAACATGGGGGACATGCGACTGCATGGCTGCATTGCTTTGGTGAGTTCACCGTAATTCATTCTACCTCGTTTCTTCATCGTGGGAAGAGCTGACGAACCCCGAACCCCCTACACCCTAAGCCTGTTGTGTAGGTCGGGCTTCAGTTTCGACGGCTTGATTCAGGCGATGGTCGCGCGCTCACATCTCGCAAACCCTCCGCAATTGGGGAAGTCGATTCTTGGGGCCTCTGGCGGTTTAGGCTGTTAATACCCTTCGATCTTGACTGGGGGTTACTTGTTGAGTCCTACTCGGTGACACCCCAAATTTCGGTAACCCACGAGATGCGGCAATGGCAAGGATGAGACCAAAATGTCTCAGACAAGGCCCTCAACCCTCAAGCCCCGAACACAAAAAACCGGGTACGAACGACAAGCCCTGAGCCCAAAGCTTCACATGCCCCTTCAAGCCCAACAACTGCACATCTAAGTTTGGTCGAGACTGTTACAGGGCCTGAACAACTCGAAAAAGGTTACGTTGTATGTGACACTCACTATGTAGGGACAGACAATAGGAGGGAATGTGATACATGTTGATTAAGCATTCCGTCTGCGCTAGGGCCACTAGGGCTTTTAGTTTAGAGAGTAATACAGGAACCTGATCAAGAAACCTTGGGCCTTTATTAGGATTCTGCAGATTCCCAATATGAATCCTACTAGTTCGGGGTTATAGGCCCAGGGTGTCTTCCTACATTAGGAGATCCACTCGACATCTCGATCTTGGTAACAAGGCACCCGCCCATCTCGAACAGCTCCTCGGCGGGCGCCTGTCTCTAGGGTTTAGGGTTTATAAACCCTTGAACCTCACCTGGACCCTATAACACCTTCCTTTTTTCGGGTTCCCGATTATGCTTTCCCAGTATACATCCTTAAAAAGGTAGGTTTGTGGGGTTAAGGCAAACCCTAAAGCTCTGAACCGGAAAGCTGCAACGCTGCAGTCTGTATGGCCCAATTGTTGGGGATGGGGAAGTCTCGAAGGAGCATGCTTGAAGGTACAATGTGATATGGAGCCACATAATCAAAGTAACCTGATAACCCTAGTAACTTTTACAATACTATTCTGGGTTGTAGTTTTGGGGCTCTGAAAAGTATTTATGAATAGGTACCTCTATAGGAACCATAACGGAAAATTAAAAAGTTCCCCAAATTGCCACCTAGATTAGCAAGAATGGTAAACAATGAACTAAATACTAGTCATACTCGCGATAGTGGGACCATGATCGACCTCAAAACTCTTTTCTATTCATAGACACCGTAATAGTACATGATATATCCCCTATTCAGATCAGTTGGGATCAGAGTAGCCTCAGGTTCCGGGACACGTTGTAGCATAGACCTGTGTACTGTCTTCAGGTTACGGGTTAGGATGTGAAATTACGCTAGAAGCCCAGTTACCGATCAGTCAACTATGCATCTTTACAAACCGCACGCTTTAGGTTTAGGTTCAGGGTTAAGGCTTTAAGGCGCGCACTGATACAACATTGAACCTTGTACCTTTATGCAATCTGTTGCATACAGCATACTGTCCCTACAGTACTTCCACTATACTTGGAGGCTCAGGGAACTTAGTAACTAGGTTATGAGTAGAAATATAAGTACCCTACATGATGATCCTACGCTACCTATAGCCGCCACCTTCCCTCCCCTCCTCCCGCGTCCCCCTTCACCCCCCTACTTAACAAGTTCTCTGGGTCTCAAAGTAATGACCCAACCCTTGAATCATCCCTTCGAGACCAGGTACTCCTTGTCATGGCACTATGGGTACCTTTGGGGTTTCAAACACTACAAACGGGAGCTTAGGGTAAGGGTTTAAGATTTTTGTAGGGGCCGCAGTGACTAGAATAGGGTTTGGGGGGTACATGACAGTATACTTGTGATAAGGATCACACTCAACCTTCGCGCCTCTTCCTGCTCTGCCAGACTCGCCGCAATCGCCCAGTCTAGGTCGGCATCCGCGATGTCCAGAGCACTCCTAGCAGGAACCATTTTGCAGGGCAATCATAGGGTAGTGTTGAGGGTGTAGGGTTCTAAGGGGTCTTACAAGGGCCTTGTAGTTGTAGTTAGAAGAGTTTGATTGGGATTGCCGAAAGGTCGTCCAAAGCTTTGTGTTCTTTTTCAGGTTGCCCTAACCTGCAGATCCAAAGCTTCTTGTTGCAGTGCAGAGTTTGGAATATAGTCTAGAGTCTAGAGATTGCTGTCGGCAAGGGGTCACGAGAGAGCAGTGCTCACAGGTAGGTACCGCCCGAAAATCATCCAGGAACAACCAATGCTCACAGGCATGTGCCGCCCAACAAAACATGCGAAGAACAACCAATTCAGACTAGGATGTATAAGGTTTAGGATGCAGGAACAGGAAGAACGCATGGCAAGACGGAACCTAAATCTGCAGCCAGGTAGCATGCTGTGCTCCAAGGCACGTTGAAGAGCATACTCCTCACGAGTCGTTTCGAACGATTTGGATATTGGACGTGAAGGAAAACCAAGTATACACCCTAAACTAAACTGTAGAGTGCGTGAGGCGGTAATTATGCACTATCAGGCTTTCCCCATATATACGCCCCTCACCTGACCTCATGACTGTACACTCGCACTCGCTCTGTTTGTTATATTAAGCTTCCGTCTCGCAGACCTAGTCTGGCAGGGGGCAGGGGAATGCACGTTTCAGTTGATTGGCTGTGCATTTGTGCATTTGCTAGCTCAGAAACCGGGGCACTATTTAGCTTGAAAGAAATATCCTTGGCGGGGGCCAATGTATATGAAAGATGCACGAAGGGATCCGGGATGGTCATGTAGGTTTCATCCCTCGACCGTTGTACCAGGCACAGACTCAACGAGTGGTCTTCGCAGAAGTTCCACCGCTTTCATGAGCCCACCAGATCCCTCAAGTCAAGTATACACCTGATTCTTATTTATACGCTAAGGCCCTAAGGGTCCAAAGGATCAACAATTAGGTACTTGGGATAGAAATTTTCTAGGATAGTATTGGGGGAAGTAAATGGTGATTAGGTACTTGGAACCTTCGGGGATGCATTCTCAGTCATTCGAGTTTGCGTCATAATGGTAATGACTCAAACTCAAATGACTGAGAATGCAAGTTGCTTGATAGGCCTAAACCATTGATGGCTCAAGAGCATAAGGGTAGGCCCTGCTAAACCCAGGCTTGGCTGATCTGCATTGAGAGGTGTGACGTTCGCCTCCAAAAACAAACCCCTAAACCCTAAACCCCTGAACCCTAAACCCTAAACCCCTAAACCCTAACCCCTGAACCCTAAACCCCGAAACCCCTAACCCAGAGAGAGCTCCTCGACACCCAGCGCCTCCTCGCCCTCACCCACCTCCTCTCTCGCAGAAGATCGCTCCGCTGGGCCCTGTGCCTTGGGAAGTGTGCTGGGTTTAGGGTTTAGGGCCTAGGGTTTAAAGTATAGGGCTGGGATATCAAGGGTACCTGAATTACCTACAGCATGGACTGAAGATCTCATGGTAGTATTGCTATTGTCAGAACTGTGTTATCTTATCTTTGCTGTTACGACTAAGGTTAAGATTACGATGATTACTTGTGCAGTAGTAGTTGTCGTTGTTGTTGCTGCTGTTGTTGTTGTTGTTGCATGTTGTTGCTGTTGTTGCTGTTGTTGTTGTTGTTGTTGTTGTTGCTGCTGCTGTGGTTGCTGTTGTTGCTGCCGTCGTTGATGCTGTTATTGCTGCAGTTGCATTTGTTGCTGTGGTTGTGGTTATTGTTGTAGTTGCGACTATCACGATCATTACTGTCATCGAAGCTAGTAATACTGGTATTAAGCGATTTCAAGTACTATTAATGTGTACGACAAAATACTGCGCATCCTAGAAGATTCGGGCCGGACACTTGCAGCGATCTGCGTTGCGTTTGCCAACAATCCGCAGGTGCCTGCAGCTTGCCCCAAGAGAAACTATTGAAGCCGGAACTTGGGTTTCCAATTAATCTAGTGTTTACTCGGGCAGTCCTTGGATTAGCGCTTAAGAAATTTATGAAACTAAAGAACTGTTTTGGAAGAAGCGTAGATATTGCGGCCTCTTGAGAAAGCAGTCGACTGTCGAGATGCTGCCGGAGAAGGCGTCTGTGGAGGGTCAGCGCCGGCAGAGCCGAGCACCTACAAGCAAAGCACACCTTTATGGCAGCTATGCTGGGTACCGATTCATTCTGAACGCGCACCCTCAACTGGCTCTAAACTCTGATCATATCGCTCTACCTACAGATCATGCCGTGCCCCTTTGTTAGGGTGGGCATGCGGAACGCATCCAATCAGAGCTCGTCACAACGTCAGTGAACTTGAAGCCCTCCAGCCCTTGGTGTTTAGGCTTGGGGTTTAGGTTTATTTAGGGTTTACGGTTTAGGGTTTAGGCTTTAGGGACGGCTCCTCCAGCAGGCCAGCGATTGGATGCGGCACAAGAATAGCAATCATAGCAGCTATCTTCAGCCATCCTCGATGGTCCGCCATGTCCAGGGTATACCCTAAGGATCCATGTGCCCAAATCGTATAGCCCTATATAATAGGGACTACTGTAAGGCCAAACTATATACTTTTGGGGTACATGGACCCATGGGCACTATACTACGGCTACAACAAGGAACCCTGAGGAAATAGTATTCGTCACTATTCAAGGCCCCCCTGATAGATCCGCACTCCTTGCCTTGGAACTCCAATAAATAGGCAACCGTGCTTTCTTCGCTTCCTACTCCTTAAACCCTAAACCTCTATGTGAAGGTGCGTGGAAACCCCCCACCCACTGGCTTGACCCTTGATTCGGTTATCGCTCCTTATTACTCGTATCGTTTTACAGGGCTTTGGATGACTTTGGGACTGTAGGATGTCTCACATACTCGTTATCGTTATGTTTTACTCTTACTGTTTTACACGGAATCTGATTTCTCTCAACTTACGGACGCATCTGCTAAAAAAAAGGGTGTTCTCGGTTTTTGATCATCCCTTATGCCCTTAAGCCCGAAACCCTCACCCCTAAACCTTATAAGTCCTAAACCTCTATGTTCTTCAGAAGAGGAGGGGTTCAAGGTACGGGCCTGCAGGCTCGCGCTGCGGGGTTCTGTAAGGCTTTATCAGTTGCTGAGTTGTCCTTTAAGCCATCTGAAAATTATTTACTATTGTGGTTCTCTACAAAGTAGTAGGGGAGATACAAAAAGATCTCAAAGGACAACCCAGCTTAGGGCCTAACGGGTATACTGTGTAGCATCATTGTTGCATTCAAGAGCCCCTAGGCAGGATGAATTGTGGTGGGGTTGAATTGTGGGTGAGTAGCTGCAGGCTACTCCGAAGGTGTTCAGGCTTTTGTCGTAACCTTCTGACTTCTCACCCAAAGCCTAAACCCTAAACCATGAACCCCAAACTCCTGTATCAGCCCTTTCGTCTTCATAATTATAGTATCATGGCCCCCCAAAACTCTATTCTGATTGTTGAGGCCCCTATATTATAGAACCCTACCATAGATCCCCTTCAAGGAACCCCCCGTATTATAGAACCCTACCATAGATCCCTTTAAAGGAACCCCCTGTATTATAGAACCCTACGAGAGATCCCTTTAAAGGAACCCCCTATATTATAGATCCCTTTAAAGGAACCCCCTATATTATAGAACCCTACTACTTAAAGCATCATGGGACTTAGTAACTAGGGTTATAACTAGGGTAACTATACTTAGAACTACTTATAACCCCACTTAAGGTACTTATAACCTTACTTACTAACTCCCATGATCCTCCAAGTATAGATCCCCTTAAAGGAACCCCCCGACATATTCTGCGTTCCCGCCTGGCCCTGGCGCTGCAGGGCTGCCAGAAAGTCTGGCAGCCGCTGATGAGGCGCCTGCTTGGAGGATCCCTTTAGAGGGATCTATAGGGTGTAGGGGTTTAGGGTTTTAGGGTTTAGGGTATAGGGTTTTAGGGTTTAGGGTATAGGGTTTTAGGGTTTAGGGTATAGGGTTTTAGGGTTTAGGGTATAGGGTTTTAGGGTTTAGGGGGTTTGGCCCTGCTTGGAGGATCATGGGACTTAGTAAGTAAGGTTATAAGTACCTTAACTGGGGTTATAAGTACCTTAATTGGGGTTATAAGTACCTTAACTGGGGTTATAAGTACCTTAATTGGGGTTACAAGTGCCTTTATTGGGGTTATAAGTACCTTAACTGGGGTAATAAGTACCTTAATTGGGGTTATAAGTACCTTATTTGGGGTTATAAGTAGTTATAAGTATAGTTACCCTAGTTATAACCCTAGTTACTAAGTCCCATGATCCTTCAAGCGGACCAAACTTGAACTCCTTTTCATCTTCGGGGCTTAGGGTTTCGGGATGTGGGCTTAGAGGGCTTAGGGTTTAGTTTCGGGTTTAGGGATGTGGGCTTAGAGGGGTTTAGGGTCTAGTCTAGGGTTTAGGGATGTGGGCTTAGAGGGTTTAGGGTTTAGTTTAGGGCTTAGGGACTTGGGTTTAGAGTTGAGAGGGTTGCCCAACGGCTTCAGATCTCGCCTATGGCCTATGGACTGGGCTTCGAGGCTTCGGTGTCCGGCAACTTATTAGTGTCAACTGAAAGTCGACTTCGTCCGCCCAGGAATCCACACAACATGGCAATGGCACAGCCCTTGCCAGCTTCGCAAACACTATGTCTAAGCGTGGTGTTGGGGTTTAGGAGCTTAGGGGTTTAGGAATTTAATGGCTTCTGACCCAGCGGCCCCAGCGTTTCTGCTTGGTGGTTTTGGCCCTGAACTCCAACAACCGCATCAACCCTAAACTCTAAGACCACACCCCTAAACCTAAATCCTATTAGCCCTGAACCCCAACTATGCCCCCTCCAAGGCTACACTCGATCACGGCGCATACGGGATTTGTTAAGTTACCATAATACGAACCTATAGTATAATAGGGTTCTAGAGCAAAAAAAGGTTTCCTTGTTTTGGCAGTGCAAAACCCAATGGTCCAAGTACCATTATAGTAGGTACTTAGCAGCTATTGAGGCCCCAGAAGTATATACGATATTGTTACTTGGACTCTTGGGGAAATCAGTTCCTTAACAATCCTAAACCCTAAACCCCAAACCCTAAACCCTTAACCCCAAACCCTAAACCCCAAACCCCAAACCCTAAACCCTAAACCCCAAACCTTAAACCCTAAACCCTAAACCCTTAACAACCCTTCTCGGCCCTTCAAACCCTGCCCAAAAACCCGCCCTTTCTGCGCCATGCCAAAGTATGGCCCTAAATCTTCCAGAATGGCCCGCGCCTCATGCCATATATATATATATATATATATATATATTTATATATATATTTATTTATTTTTATTTATATATATATACATATATATATATATATATATATATATGATGCAGGGCTGCCACGCCCCCCCTCCCCCCCCCACCCCATGGTATCCTCCCCCCTTCCCCCCCGCCCCCCCTGTGGTGTGGGGCCTGTGGTGGTACTCTTTTTGCCACGACGTTCTTATGTGTTACTCCTTGTCTTCCCTCTTGTTGTGGCCCCGGTGATACTGCTCATGATGTTGTGCTGCTCTAGACCGGGACATGAGTCGACGATCATACCATGCTCAACATCATCCTTGTCGTCGTCATATTCATCATTGATACCTTCAAAAGAAGATCTGCTACCATCACCATCGCAATACAACCCTCATAATTCAGCATTGCAATTCACGTCAGATGCCGCTTTCAGCAGACGGCAGGGCATAGTGCGACACTCCCGATCCGCGCACAAGGTCAAGGGTGCAGCAGCAGGGCGGCAGGGGGTTGGGGGGGGGGGGATACCAGGGGGGGGGGGGGGGGGTGGCGGCCCGGGACCCGAGAGCATATATATATATATATATATATATATATATATATATATATATATATCTGTATATATATCTATATATATATATATATGTGTGTGTGCATATGCATATTGATATATTTTCTGAATATAAACATATATATATATATAAATAAATAAACAAATCACATATCATATATCCCTCGCATATGCGATGCAAAAACTCTCGCAACAAATACCCTTCTGAATCCCTTATTTGGAAAACGTCTTCCAAAAGCCCTGAATGGCCTGTTGTTGAGCCCATTATCCAACTCTTTGTGAACTGATTTCGACACCCCCCACCCCCCATATCCGCCCTAAGCCCGTAACCCAAAATCTTGAAGCCCTCCATCACCAGTCGGGCGACTGGGGGGAGAAATGTTGTCGAGTCCTCAGTTAAGTGGATGAAGGGGAGCTTCAACAATTCGAAAAAGGCTTCTGGTGGAGCTTCCAGAAACACCAAGGCCCTGACGATTAGCGATCCAAAACTTGGCTGTTGGATTTTCAGACCTGTGAGTTTCGTTAAGAATGGAGGGCTTTCGCGTTTACAACTTGCCACTACTTCGGCTGTAAAGGGGGGTGAGGACACTTGTAGGGTGTAGGGCTGTGGGCTTTCGGGTTCATGTAGGGCCTCCACAGTATTTACATTTACAGGTATACTTGCTCAAATCCCGCTTGGTGCTTTATGGCCGCATGGTTGGAGAGCTCAATTCAAGATCAAGGCCGGTGGCTCAGAGCCATTGAGCTGATTTGGGGTTTGGGGAAGGGAAAGTGAGAAGCCTGCGGGGCCTTAGCCTGAAAAGGTTGTGGGGTTCCCGGGTTTAGCAGGGCCAGGGGCTTTGGAGCCTCATGGGTTATCGAGTTTCGGGCTTAACTGCTTAGACTAGACTTGTGCTGCGGGTGTGGGTTCTGATTGTAAAGTAATTCGCAAGTTGCTGAAGTTTGCAGAGATTTAAGGGTTCCTGTAAAGGGTTTCTATCAGGGCTCCCTTCATTGGGGTTTCAGGGCTTAATAGAGAGGCTGCAATTATTGGAATAGGGTTCCGGGCCCGGGTCCATCTCTACTATAGCCGGAATACGGAGCCCTGATTAACGGTGATACGAAATATTTAACCGCTGTATGATAACATTCCGGCTGTTTTTACATGTTTTGCAGGGTTTGCAGCTTAGGGTTGAGGGATCGGGGTACTAAAGCAAAAGACATAAGGCTATAGACAGTGTCACAGAAATACATGTGTACATATAAATATACATGTATACATGTATACCACCGTAATGGTGTGCGTGCGTATGTATGTATCTGTGTATGCATGTATGTATGTAAGTGTGTGTACTTAAAGTCGTATAGCTATTCAGGGACCAATACAAACGAACAACAAGGCCCATGCGGTCCCTAACGCATACCGGAGTACCGTAAAGATGAGGGTGTCGCAGTACTGGAGCAGCTGACCAAATCTAATCCCGAGCGTCGTCGGAAATCTCGAAGCCCATGCGGAATCCAGACAGCCAGTTCGCTGAGACGATTCCTGCGACAAGAAATGGGTTTGGGGATAAGGATCTTGCGTTAAAGGCCGTGGGTTGAAAGGCTTGGCGGATTTGCAACCCTGCACCCTGAACCCTAAACCCTGAGCCCTAAACCGTGGTGGTACAGTTTCGGGCGCCTGCGAGCAGCGGGGACGAGCATCTGAAGGTCTGATTGATCTTGCCCTCAGTATATAGTGGCCTTAATAATCAGAATAGGTCTCGGTTAAAGGGGTCTATAAGGGTTACTAGAACGGATCGAAAAGGGTACTATAACGTAGGGGCCTTAATGCTTAGAACAGGGTTTGGGGGTATATCATACTATAATTGCGTATAATTATAATAAGGAACCCCCAAATGGTATAGGTAATTATTTCGGCCCCTATATACTACGCTTCGCTGAGAGGGTTTAGGGTTAAGGACTACTGTATACCACCGCTTCCTTGAAGCTACTATACACCACCTTTAGCATTAGCAGGATGGAAACGTTGATGCTGATAATGGCCACTTGGCATCCTTGTCATGGTCACTGCGGTCATGTATGTACTTATGAATATGTACGCTTCGGCATGGGAGAAGAAACAGAGAAAGATGAAAAATGGCAGCCACAGAGTTTCAGCTGTCATGAAGTCCTGAGTCAGGTTTTTATCACCAGTCAAAGGGGAAAAGGAGGGACCCTTAATGGGGACCCCTACCCTATAATGGGCTATATAATGGGTATATAATAGCTGTATTAAGGGTATATACCTAGGGGTCCTTATTAAGGGTCCCTCCCTTTTACCCTTGGAACCAGTGGTGTACAACGACGGCTCTTCCTCATGATCTTGTGCCACCTACTGCCACGACGACGACTTTGCTTCAATGATAGCCCAAAGCACAAAGGGACTATTAAACGCTGCTAGAACTGCATCGATAGCAGAGTTTAAGCAGCAAAATGTCAGGTATTGCACTCAAAAGGGCAATTACATAAGTTACAACACTAACCAGAAAGTAACTCAACACTAAACCCTAGACGCAATTGGTGATGTTGTTGTATTCCATACTGCGCACGATCGGGCAAGCGGGGTTCAGAATCTGTTCAGGGGCCGAAGGAAGAGTCTGTGGTGTTGCGGTTACGGCTTAGGGGTTAGAAGATTTAGGGTTCTGGGTAGTTTAGGGTTTCGGGAAACTTCCGGCCCCGACGCAGCCTCTGTCGACGTAGTCTTGAAAGTGGTCATTTGAAAGGATGCAGCCTTGATGCTTTCAGACAGCAGACGGGGAGGGGCTTTGAGCCCATCCTCGCGTCAGTCTTACGGCTTTGAGGGTTTTCGGGCTGAATTATGGCGCACATATATCTAGGGTCATACCGACCCCGTTTGTATTTGTAGACTGTACGTACTTTTCTATAGCACCAGACTAGTTTCCCTGAAAAACTGGTAGGGCATGACCCTCTAGGTAGGGCTGCAAACTCAGCTTCTTCCAAGCAGTTTAGGATTAGGCGGACTCTTAAGCTTCAGGGTATCAATACCGGATTTGATCTGAGCCCCAAGGATCCCTGTACCCAGAGAGTATAAAGTCTGTGTCCTTTTTAGGTAGTGCAAGAGTGCTTTAGGGCCAAAATATCTATATACAATATGAAGGTCGTTCTCTAAACTAGGGCCCCTTTTCAGGACCTTTTTAAGAATGTCGCCTCGCCCTAGGTTCGGAAGAAGGGGGCCCTAATTTAGAGAACTCCCCACTTGGACCCCTAAACCCTACAACCTCAAGGGATCTATCAGGGTTCCTTCAAGGGATCTACAAGGGATCCTTTAAGGGATCTATCAGGGCTCCTTCAAGGGATCTACAAGGGCTCCTTTAAGGGATTTATAAGGGTTCCTTTAAGGGATCTACTATACTGAACTTAGAACCCTAGCAAAAAATACAATTTTAGCTGTTTCTTAGGGGTTATAATAAACAAAAATCTAAAAATAGTTCTCTAAGTACCCTTAAGTCTATCAGGGTTCCTTCAGGGGAGGTTTGGGGAGCCCCGCGTTCTCGCCAAGCTCGTGAGCTCGCAGGCTGCGGAATGTAAGGTTTAGGGTTTTAGGGTTTTAGGGCTTAGGGTTTAGGGTTTATAGGGTTTAGGGTTTAGGTTCCTGGCCCGTGTCTAAGAATCCTAGGCTTAGAGTTCAAGGTTTAGCGTTTACTTATTATGAGGGTCCTAGACCCCCACTTGCACCGCCATCATCACCCCCTAAACCCCAAACCCTAAACCCCCAAACACTCAAACCCTAAACTTAAACCCCAAAACCCAACACCCCCTAAACCGACGATCCTCATCGTCAGGCTGCTCCGCACCACCATGACTTACTTAAAGGATCATGGGAATTAGTAACTAGGGTTATACTTAGGGTAACTATACTTATACCTACCTCTAACCCCAGGTAAGGTACTTATAACCTTACTTACTAAGTCCCATGATCCTCCAAGTACGGCGCAGCTGCATCATCTTCACCAGCTGCAGAAGCCGAAAGCCCGCCATCAGCAATCTGGGTGTAGGGCTCTAGGGTTTAGGGGTTTACCTTAAGCCGGAATAACCTACCTTTTTAGGGTTCCTGATTATGATTTCCTTATATAAGTCCTTAAAAAAGGTAAATTATTCCGGCTCAAGGTAGTGCTTACCCCTAAACCACAAAAACGAGAAGCCTCAACCTCGAACCCGAAACCAACAATCGGAACAAGACAAGGGGACCGCGCGATCCAGGCGCGGCGGCCGCTTGCAAGGCAACTTCGTCGGGGTCCTGCCAGGGTATCCCATCGAGCTTAACCTTAACTTGGAAGGCCTCAATAATTAGAACAACTATGGTCCTTTTGGGGTCCTGGTTGGGTTTACTATGATGTAGTAGGTTAAAACATGGTAAAGTACAGCTTACATAGAGGGTTTAAGGAACCGTGCTTGGTTTGTAGGGTTTTGTGCTTTGGGCTTGGGCTGGTCTGCCGTGGACCAGATCCCACAATCCATCAATAATCCCTCGATCCTCCCCATGAGAGCAGCAACGCAGCGTTAGTCGGCCGGGGTAGCGATCTCGCAATCTTCCTTGGCGTTAAGTTCACGATTTGGGGGACGGCTACCTCAAGGCCGAAAGACAAAGAACTTCCAACAATATTCCTGAGCGTTCCTTCTCATGAACATGGTATAATATGCCCCAAAACCCTACTCCAATTGATAAGGCCGCTATACTACAGAGTCGGATCACCATTTCAGGAGTCTGCTTGTAGCATGTTGTAGCATATTATGACCATTCACAGATTCTTGGGGAACCTTTACTACACAATGGTGGTAACCTTATTGTAGTACCCTGCCGGTGCCCTTATCGTAGGTAGCCTGGAGGGAACACTTATGGGGTTGAAGGACTTCCAAGTTGTCCGCTAATCAGGAGTCTACATGAACCCTAAGTGTCCAAGTACCTAAATAATAACCATATACCCTCCCAAATATTTTTTTCATAGCTACTGTCCGTACCTTCGAACTGGGTCCTTTGGACCCTTAGGGCAAAGCATGGCACTTGTCTTGATACTCACCACGCAGTACGGTGTGGAGCAGTGCAGTGGTCGTTTTAATCTTAGTTGAATGTAACCGCTATGCATCTGCTGGTGTCCGCCCTAGTTTTCGCTTGCTATGCTGTCGCGCATATGTAGCTTAAACAAGCTGTCGCAGACTCTGCTTTTCAGACTAGCTGCGAGGGCTTGTGCCAGATACAAAGCCTTACTCGGGGGCTGAGTACCCTAGCTCAGAAAAGGTTAACCTTTTGATTTATAGTAGGGATATATAAGCCCCAAGATGTTATAGGTTGCCTACTCCTCCCGCAAGTATACTGGGCCACCAGGCTTCGTTTGTGTGCAGGGTCAGTGCGCTGCCCGTAGCTTTCAGCAGTGGCACTACGTTGCATGATGCTGGAATCCAACCAAGATCCCCACCCTACAACCCCTGTGCTAAAACGCCCTCACCCACAAATCTTGAAGCCTTTGCATTCTTGGAACCCCAAACCCTAAACCCTTTTAAACCACAAACTAAATGAGTGGGTTGGAAGGCTCGAGCAGCAAAGACCACAACGGCATCTTTATCCCTCAACCCGAAACCCTCAGTTATGAGAGTTTCGGAATTTATGAAGCCCTAAGGCTTAAGGGTCCATGTACCCAAATAGTATATACTTCGGCCCCGAAGTACCTATAATCGTACTACTTTCAGGCCAATGTATATACTATTTGGGTACATGGACCCTGAAACCCCAAACCCTTTTAAAATTTTAGAACCCTTACAGGAACTCTCAAATTATAGGAGCCCGTAAAGGAAGCTTATTTGGGTACATGGACCCATAAGGAAGTTCTTGAAGCCTCCAAGCCCCTCAGCCCCCGTTTGACTAAGGCAAGATTAATGCAGGGGTCTTAATAATTAGGTCTAGGGTTTAGGGTTTAAGGATTAGAACAGACCCAGGCGCCGACGTTGAGGCCAGCCGCTGAAGCAATGCCTGCCCCGTGGAGCCAAACTTTGAAGCTACACCCAAAGGCTCCATGTGCCCATATAGCAGGTATTTAGGCCTCAAAGGGGTCCCGATATAGGTACTTTAAGGCTTAAGTAGTGCATGGAGCCTTTGGGGCAGGGTTCGTAGCTAATGTGGGGGTCTTAATAATTTGCACAGGGTTCCTTTAAAGGGGTCTATAAGGGTGACTGCAAGGGATCTATAGTAGGGCTCTAGAATGTAGGGGTCTTAATAACTAGAACAGGGTTTCGGCTAGCTTATGGTGATAAGGAACACTAAGGAATACTTTGGAACCGAAATAAGGCTTCTATACTACTGGTATTGGGCTGCGGGCTTCAGGGGCTTTGATTAGGGTTTAGGGCTCGGGGTTCGAGTAGGGATGGTAGATGCTGCATGTGAGAAATATGCTCCACCCTCTCGGGTGGGGGATGCATCTGGGAGTTTCCGAAAATAGGGGACCCTAACATAGTACCCTAAATTGTAGGATCCTTATAAAAAGGACCCCAAAAGAATGTACCCCCCCCCCCCCAATTTTTGGGAAACTACCGTTTCTTTCAATCTGTCCTGTTGAGTAAGAAGCTTCACAGATCCTAGAACCTCCCACGTAGCTCTTTCTCAACTTAAGGCTCGCCCGAACCCTAATCTCAAGCCCCCCATGTACACCCGACGAAGATCCGACGCATTACCGTCCAAACCCTAAACGGCCCTAAACCCTAAACCCAAAGCCACTCGAAGGAAATCGGGGCAGTTCGTTTCAAAACGAGGCACCTTCTGTAAGAGTTTTGCAGCTAAGCCTCGCATTGCTCTAGACTCGTTGACCGTGAACCCACGGTTTACCCTACGGGTCCAAGTACCCAACTAGTAGGGTTTCAAGCTCCAAAAACCACTCAGGGTATGGATTTCGGATCTAAGACCCTACTATTTGGGCACCCTAAACCCTAAACCCTAAACCCTAAAACCCTAAACCCTAAACCCTAAACCCTAAAACCCTAAACCCTAAACCCTAAACCCTTAGGGTTTTTTGAGGGACTCTCGGCTCTGAGTCTAGAATTCGGATCTGCTGGTTGGATCGAAATCCCTAGGATGCCCAGTAACCTAGGAATAAAAAGGGCTCCACACAAGTCTCAAGTCATGTCATAGAGGGGAGCCGGATTAGCTCAACTTAAGAAGAAGGTTCTGGAATAAAAAGGGCTCCCTTTTTGGTATTGGGTAACTTTATCAGGAACCTAGGACTACAAAAAGGGAACAAGGGCCCACTGGGTATCCTAGTAACCTGGACCCAAGAGTAACCTAGGAATAAAAAGGGTGCCCTTTTTGGTTTAAAGGGGCTTATAAGGGAACCTGAACCCCAAAAAAGGGAATAAGGGCCTACTCTAGGTCCTAGGTATCCTAGTAACTCAAGTGAAGGCAGAGGGGCTGAAGACAAGGACCAGCACCACATCCGGTGCCACAGCTACGATGTCGTCCAGCACACCTTTCGGACCAGAGCCGATGCGTTCACGGTTTCGGGAATCTACTAAACCCCTAAACCCCTAAACCTCAATCACCCTAAACCCCTGCAACCATAAATAGTTCATGGTTAGGATCGGATTTAAAGTGTACATTTTCATTCCTTATTGGGTTTAAGTACCCATAGAAATGTAAAATGTTACCCAGCTATGACAAAGGAATATGGGTTTCCCAAAGTGTCCTACGTACCCAATTAAACCGGGGAAATCGTCCAAATCATTAGAGTGGGTCCTGATATATAGAAAGCCTACATGGCCTAGGTTCTACTATCCCAGAGGGTCCACAGATACTACCATTATGGAATTAGGTCCCAGAAGACCATGGAATTGGGGGCCCTAATTCCATAATAGTAGTGTATATGGACCCTCTTGGTATATAGGTACTTAGGACCCTTCGGACCCTTTGGGGTTCTAGCTCTGCAGGACTCGCAAGCTCCGGCTGGAACTTGAGCCCAAGCGCTTAAACCCCAAACCTGTCCGCTAAACCGAAGTGACCTAGGAATAAAAAGGGCTCCCTTTTTGGTCTTGGGTAACTTTATAAGGAACCTAGGACTACAAAACGGAATAAGGGTACTACTGGACATCCTAGTGTAGTACTTATTGCAGGAGTTCCTATATAGACCCTGAGGCTGAGGGTACAGAAGTCAAGATCCATAGCTCGGAGTACATGAGGCTTAATTATGTGTTCGTACACTGGCACAGTGCCGCTACATGCCACGCACATACCCTAAACCTTAAACAGACTTGTTGCCGTCTCGCTCAGCGTTGTTCCTACATCAAGCTCCAAAGACTCGAACCCCCCCCCTCCGCGCCCCTTAACCCTAAAACCTTCAACCTTAAAGCCATAAACTTTCCATGAACCTCAAACCCTAAAGCCATATCTCACACACCCTAAACCCCAAAGCCCCTAAGCCCTAAACCTTAAACCCTAAAACCCTAAACCCCAAAGCCCCTAAGCCTAGACCCAAACCCTTCAAGAAGAGCTCAGACCCAGAGAGCCGGAGAGCCCGAAGAAACCCTAAGCAAACCCGTCCGGGGTCTGGCTTTAAAGTAAAAGCCAGAAAGTTGGAATATGATTATCCTAAACCCTTTATGGTAAATTATAAGATATCCTACCCTGAAACCATATTCCAACTTTCTGGAGTTCCCTTTAGGGGTTTAGGGATGTACGGTTTAAGCTTCAGGGTGTCATGGAGTCAGAGCATTGCAGGGTTTTCGGGTTTCAGGTCTCGGATGTCGGTTTGGATGTTTGCGTCGATGTTTCCAACACCCCAAAACCCTAAAACCCTAAATCCTAAACTGAACTGGATCGAAATTCGCTACTCGGTGCTTCTTTAGATGTTGACTTTAGCCTTCAGTCCAAACTCAAAGCCTTAGCAGGACACTAAACATCTTGCTAGCCTTCCTTATTCTGATCTCCTTATCCCAGGTACCTGTGTCCTAGAATGCTTTCACTGAACTGGTAGGTTGTCGCTTCCAGCGTGTTGTCATAGTGTAGAACGTAGGGTCTAGAAACTATGAACTAATGCTATGGCTGCTATGGTTTGGGTAAATCCCCCACAAGAGTACCTAGGACCCTTTGGGTATATAAGTCCTGGCAAAGGTAGGTATTTTGGGATTAATTTATTATGGTGAACAACGAAATCCAGTTTCCTCAAAAGCCATGTAGCAGAACTTGCACTGAGGGGGATGTCAGAGTTCATATACTCGAGTTCAGAGCCTAGGACCCTGGACCCCAATTTAGACGCCTGAATAATCTGAAACACTGTTTCAATGATTTGTTTGGGTCCCTTATTAGTATTCCTTTTGCGTAATATACACCAAAACCTCCGGATAATACAGCTCTTTAATAAGCACTAAACTACGCACATCGGGGGCCAAATGTGGAGTCAGTATTGGGGGCTCGGTTTAGGATTCCGGGTTTATAGCATTTAGGGCGTTGGATTACGAGCTTGCAGCCAAGAGCCCAGCACCTTGAAAGCTTTGGAGTTTCGCGGGTCTCACGAAATGTGCTTGGGGTAAACGAGTTCACCCAGCCCCGAAACACGGGAACCCCAATAACCTTAGCCTTAACCTCTACCCAGAGAGCCCAATACCCCTTAAATAAGGAACATGGCTTAAATTATATAGGGCTTCATATTATTAGTTTAAGCTATATTCCTTAATTAAGGGGTGTTGGGCTCTCTGGGTACAACCTTCAAAGCCTTGGAGCCGCCAGCTGGAGAACCCTCATAAAGCTTGTGACACGTGTATGAAAAGCCATGCAAAAGGCCGTTACTGCAGGAGCCTGAATAATTCCCTATGCTATTTTGGGGTCCCTTATTCTAGGTACAGTATAATTGTTCCCAAAACCCTATTCTAAATATTGAGGCCCCCATGTTACAAACACTCCGCCTTCCAAGACGAAAGGGTCCAGGTCGGCCAGCCTGCAATACAAAACGAAAGACTGCCTTTGTAGGGAATCGGGGAATGGGTTATAGGGACTACTATAGGGGACCTTACAACGGACTACTACAGGGATCCATTCCCCCATTCCCTATTAAGCACCAGACAGAAGATTGGGGCTGAGGGGACTTTTCTGATTCTCGCTTTTTACGGGGGACTCTCGCCAAACCTCATGTATTCTGTCTTCTTGGGTCTTGTTTCAGACTCCTCTTCGGTCCCATACTTCCTGAAACGTCTCTACGGGCCTATTGTTTTACAAGAGTTTGGGCTGGCCCTAAACCCTAGACCCACGAGTAACCTAGGCATAAAAAGGGTGCCCTTTTCGGTTTGAAGGGGCTTAGAAGGGAACCTGAACCCCCAAAAAAGGGAATAAGGGCCTACTCTAGGTCCTAGAACCCTAAACTCCTGAACCCCTAAACGGCACTAAACCCTAAACCCCGATTCCCGAAAAGGCCCTAAACCGTAGGGTCCCAGGGGTCTTGGGATTGAAGGCCTTCAGGTTGTCGGGCTCTATAGTTTGAGCACTAGGCTTTCACAGAAATGTAGGCATTCTGCGTATTGTTCGGGAAATGACCAGGAACCCTTACCGACATAATTTAGGGGCCTTGATGATAAAAATGGGGCTTGGGCGATCCACTGCTGTAGGGTTTCGATTACGTATAGCATATACGAGCAACTAGAAAACCATCTAAGGCTCCTCTGAGGTTTCCTATGATACTAGAAGCGTTCTTGAAAGGGTTGCTATTAAACTCTAAGTGCGGGCTTCTATGGCTACTAGAATATGGTACGATGTAATGTGTACTACAGAGAGGACTAAACCCTACCTCAACCCTGAATGACCTACCCTTTTAGGGCTCCTTACTATGATTTCCTTATACAAGTCCTGAACAAGGTAGGCTATTCCGGCTTAAGGTAAACCCACAGGGGACCATAAGGCTCCTATGGCAGTGACGAAGCACTTTTCTGGGTCTGAGACTGCCGGTGTGTCCTAAACCCTAAACCCTAAACCCTAAACCCTAAACCCTAAACCCTAAACCCTAAACCGAACACCGTCCAGTAGCGGTATAAAGCTTGAGTATGGCATTTGGGCTTAATTAGAAGAATAAGGCGGGATCACAATGTGATGCAGCCCTGAAGCTTGGTCAACCAGGAAGTGTGCATACGCATGTCTACCCACTACAGGCAGCAAGTGTGAACATTAGAGAGAACAACACGCACATGCTCCTTTCTGATTCTGTATGTTTATGGTGCCTATGTTTGATATGTTCGATGAAACTTTGACGCTGAGTTTCCATCAGCCGACTGCACACCACCGATCTCAGGGTTGCTTTAAAAGTCTTACAAGTCAACGGATCAAGAAAAGACTCGAAATCAGTTCGGCAGATGATGCCTTCGCCTTCGCTGCGCTAAGATTCTGTGGCTGGGACATCCATGCCAAAACTCCGATGAAACAAGCACTCTGAGGTTTAGCGGACTTTTAGCAACTTGAGTCAAGCTACGTGCTACCCGAAGACTGAGCTGCTGCTGACTAAGTCCGTTGAACCTTGAAGTGGTCTTTTGGATATATCACACCCTCAATGCGCTTGCCCAAGCAAGCTTCCGGAAGCTGCTGAATTCAGGACAACGCAGCTGGTCTGCTCACTGTCACAGCACTGGTAGGCTCAGATAGAGCGAAGGTATAATGCTCCTGTAGCCATACGAGATTAAGCACATGAAAGAACAATGACTACGCAACCTGAAAGAAACAAAAGAAATAATGGCAACCGGTGAACTTCTTGGCGACATATCTACAGCTCCCTACAGAAATTAATAATTTCTATATTTGGATCAACAATTAACAGAAAATATCAAACACACAAATGCATGGGAGCAACAACGTATACGCGAAAAACACAAAGAGACATACTTATTTTGTGTGTAAACAACTACAAAACAAAAAACATAATAATAGTACCAATGACTATACTGCTAAAAATACAACAAACATAATTGTAGCAATGCTACTGGTAACAACTACAGCCGTAGCAGCAGTAGTAGTAGTAGTAGTAGTTAGTAGTAGTAGTAGTAGTAGTAGTAGTAGTAGTAGTAGTAGTAGTAGTAGTAGTAGTAGTAGTAGTAGTAGTAGTAGTAGTAGTAGTAGTAGTAGCAGCAGTAGTAGTAGTAGTAGTAGTAGTAATAGTAGTAGTAGTAGCAGCAGTAGTAGCAGTAGCAGTAGCAATAGCAGTAGCAGTAGTAGTAGCAGTAGTAGCAGTAGTAGCAGTAGTAGCAGTAGTGGTGGCGGTGGTGGTAGTGGTAGTAGTTGTTGTGGTAGTAGTGCTAGTAGCGGTAGTCGTCGACTAATGCTACTACAACAGGATGAATGTCGAACTAAAACGTGTCTTACTTGGAAAGATCAGGAGCATGCCATTACGGTTGAGAAGCTGATCGACAGTGCAACCGCCGCTGCAAGACAAGTCTGTGTAGTCTGGCATAGACAAACCGTCATGTAGTGTCTGACTATCGGGACAGTTTATACGACGAGCTAGGCAGTGCAGCAAGCAGCCCCACGAAACAGATCCATCAAGCATGTGTGAAGCACTCCCAACATCGTCACTTGCTTGGCTTCACTCTTGAACTGCACGTCGCCCTTTGGTGTTGAGATCGTGAGAGATAAGTAAGACTTGCCATCCTCGCTCTGCTTGAGGATAGAAGTGTCTATGCCTGTGGCGTTGAAGAATGTATCGACGACGTCACGGGCACTGGCTGCGACGTGAAATTCTTTCAGAGGACATATCCGCGCACTTGTATCTAGTTCAGTCCTCGGCGGAGTCTTCCACTGGATGGCATTTGGAAAAACCGGGTCAAACCCGGGACCAATCTGCCCACGCACGTAGGTGGAGTGCTCGTCCTTACTGCCAGGCTCATCCTGGACGACTTTATTTTCAATGCATCGCCCCCCAGCCACGACTTTGGACTCGAACTTTTCGAAGTCATCCGTACCGACATACCAGAACCAAAGAGTCAACTCATCTGGAGGCATGCTTCGCAGAATCGACTTTAATGGATGGAAGCCGCCGTGCTCCAGGTTTGGACCCAGGATTTCCAAGAATGACTTCCTAGGTTCTCCGAACAGCCACTCCTACATGAGATCCTCTTAGCATCAAATTCAGAAAAGTATAGAATATCCCGGATTGCCACCTAGATTCTCTCCAATCTTCAAGCTGGCGCTCTGGTAAGGCATATTCGGCTCCGGTGGGTGCACGGTCGGCTGCACGCCGGTGAGTTCAGCTACTCGCGCTACACCCTTTTCCTGGGGCTGCTCTTAGAAGCGAAACTGTAAACCATCCACGACAGAGGGTTTAGGTTTTAGTGGTTTCAGGTTTAGGGGCTAAGAGTTTAGGGATTTAGGGTTCTTGTTTCGCCTTTTGCACGTACTGTACTTTACTAGTTAGACATCAGAGACGTGCTCAAGAACGGCGGAGTCGCCAGGTCGTTCACCGCGAGACCGACGTGATCCAGCTGGTGGCCGCCAGGCTTTGTCAGAACTTTGCCTTCACCGCTCATGGCCGATCCTGTCCCTGATATATATATATATATATATATACATACACACATACATACATACAAACATATACATATATATATATATACATACATACATACATACATTCATACCTGTATATATGTGTACACATATGTGCTCTTCATTATTACGGAGACTAGCTATACTAATTAAGGCAGTATCTCGTCATCGTCTAGAGTCGAAGCTGAAGCCGAAACCGCATGCCAGGCAGCACTCCTAACCCGGAACCCTAAACCCTAAACCGCCAAGGCCCCTTCGTCTGCTCATCAGGGCTTTGGGAAAGCATGAGACACTGCTGATGGACAAAATCCTTAGGGCTCCTTTAAAGGGATCTATAGGGGTACCTTTAAGGGGCTCCTTTAAGGGATCTTTAGGGTTGAGGGATATAAATCCTGCATGACCCTAAGGACTCTAAACTATGGGGGCTATGGTATATTCCTTAGAATGGGTACTGCAGGATTTTGTCCATCAACAGCAAGACTCCGGTTTAGCGTTTAGGGACCATGATGCACTCGAGCCCTCAGCTTGCAGCAAGGGCATGCAAGGCCATGGGATTCTTGAGCTACGAGTTGGGGCTCAGTGTGCTCGGGTGTCGGGCTTGGGGTCTACGCGCTAGTTTTAAGAATGTACCTATAATTATGAGGTCCTGGGCACATTTTTTGGATCAAGTACCATGGTTACTTATAATGCTTATGGTGCTGTTGTTGACGACATCAAACGCATTGTGGGCTCTCCGCTGTCTCTCGACATCTCTGTGCACCTGAGCATCCGCGATCGGACCATGGGGGGGCGGGGTGTACGAGGTCCACAAGGACCTAATAATTACGTACTTGGGTTTAGGACAGGATTTTTGCGGGTTTTTGTTTGGGAGAATATTTGAATATTATACTTAATTAGTTCGGGAGAGTATATGCAGTAAGGTTTAGGGGTTTGGGGTTACCGTCAGCCACCAGGGACCCTCGAAGCCCTGGAGAAGCAAGTTCGGCCTGCCCCGAGCACCGCCAGCAGCGAAGTAGCGCGCCACATTCGGTGCGTCCACAACGACGCGAGGGCCAAGTGAATCGTCTGCCTATGCTGTGTTTGTGGTTGACGGGGTCCGGTAGGATTTATCGCCGTGAGAAGATGGATTTAAAGGCCACATGCATACACAGGTTGAACAAGTAGCAACATGGACGCTCTCAGTCCCTACCCTACCTCCTCAGACTACACCCTGAACCTTTCAACACTTGAAACCCTACAGTTAACTTTAAAATAGAAGCCAGAAAGTTGGAACATGGACTTAAGAGGATAAGTGCTAGGATCCCTTATACTTTACCTTAAGGGCATGGGGATAATGATGTTCCAGCTTTCTGGCTTCTACTGTAAATAAACCCTTCTACATGACCCTTCAGGGTCCGTCTCGACAAGGAATTAGATTGCAAACTGACATTCCCAGAGACCCCAATACCTCTTTACTAAGGAATATATGACTTGAATCAGAATACTAAACCAGACTAAACCCTTATAGTTTAAGGCGTATTCAACATATTCCCTTAACAATAACAAGGGGTTTAGGGCTCTCTTGGCTGTGCCTTCATAATTGGAACAGGGTTTGAGGGCACATCATGCTGTAGTTGTATAGGGACTGTAAGGAAATACGAATAAAGGCAATTGCGACCCCTATAATACATACTTGTTGGTTCCCGTCCCGTAGGGTTCAAACATAAGAAGTACATCCCGACCCTTGTCAAACTAAACTTCGACACCCTAAGCCGTGAACCCCAAACCCCAAACTCAGCCTCGAGCAACCAAGATACCTTACAAAGTGTACATGTACTCATTCATTAACCAAAGGTACATTGGTTACTTTAGGAACACCCTATAAACTATAGATAACCCGCAACGCCAAGTCCTATGCCCCCGAAGAGCCCTGCACAGCCACCCTTGATTGTAAACACTGCAGCTGCGACCCCTTAGGCCCTAGCCCAACCGAAAAAGCCATCTTGTCAAAGAAAGATATGTGGAATCAGAGACTCAGATAAATGCTGTTTAGATCTGTTTAAAGTATAACGTAAAAGCCAGAAAGTTGGAATATGATTATCCCTAAACCCTTTCTGGTCAATTATAAGGTATCCTACCCTGAAACCATATTCCAACTTTCTGGAGTTCCCTGTAGTGTTTAGATTTACAAATCAACCCTAAACCCCAGACCGCCCAAGTGCCCGGGAACCTCACAGCCAACTGGGGGTTTCCGAAAATAGGGGACCCCAATATAGTACCCCCAAAAAGTAGGATCCTTATTATAAGGACCCAAAATAAGGTACCCCTAGTTTTCGGAAACTCCCAACTCTGCAAACGAACAGCCGGGGCTGCACCGTGGGCGCCAGCCCACGAAGGGGCCGGTTCTGCCCTGGAGATTGAATCTTTCGTGTCTGAGGATTCAGTACACCTTCATGTAAGGGCTTTCATAATTACGCAGAGGGTTGGGGTGGAGGTAAGTAGAGGATTTTGTTGGTATAGCTGTTCTTGGGGTGCCGTCAACCGTAAACATTGCGGTCTAAGTGCTATTCTACGTACGCATACAGGGGATGAGCGGTATGTTGTTTCCCTACGTTGATTTCCGTGGCCTGCATTTGTGAACAACGAACCCCAAGCCCCAAATCTCTAACTATCCTCAACTCCTAACCGACCCTACACCACCTAAAGCTTGCAGGCTGGGGTCTTCACGATCCAATCGGCTTTGAAAGAAGTCTTGTTTGCACGTTCATGACTGGAATACGTCACGTTTTTTGCGCAACTTAGGTACGTATTCGGGCAGCATCAGTTGTAGGGACTACAAGCGGATAATGAGTCTTATTAATGTCATCACAGCCCTGCAAGACCCTCTAAACGCCAGAAAACACCACAAAAGACATGTAAAACTCGACGGGTTCGGAAGGTTTCGGAAACTGGCAGACATGCGTGCAAACCAACCAAAGCTGTTAAACTAGACTCCGAACGCTAGGCCCTAAACCCTAAACCCTAAACCCTATAAACCCTAAACCCTATAGGCCCTAAACCCTAATTAAACTCTAGGGGCTCATTCAAAACCCCGAAGCTCGGACAGTGGCCTCGAAGCTCTCGGCAGCGGCCTGCTGCAGCCGAACCCAGAGACTCCAATACCCCTTAATTAAGGAATATACCTTAAATCATATTATGGATCCTACTATACTTTAAGGTATATTCCTTAATGAAGGGGTTTTGGGCCTACTTAAAGGATCATGGGGAGCCTTAAATTACAGTAGGATCCTTAAATTGATTTAAGGAATATTCCTGAATTAAGGGATTTTGGAGTCTCTGGGAACAACAGCTTAATGCAGGGGGCCTTAACAATTAGACTTGGCTTCCCTTTAAAGGAGTCTGTAAGGGCCACGTTAAGGGCTATTATAAGGATGTAATGTAGGGGCCTTGCAAATTAGAATAGGGTTTTGGGGGGCCCAAAATTACAACTTGGTTTGGTGTAATAGATCCCCAAACTCTCCTCTAATTATTAAGGCCCCTGCCATTATACATTTATAAGGTTTAGGACTTTAGGATTCAATGTCAAGCCCTGAACTATTATACATATATATACATATATATATGTATATACATATAGTGTTGTTCAATGAGGTTTTATATGGGCTTGCCGGGGCCGGGGCTTCATGAGGGCCTGTAGGGGCTCTCATGTGAGCTTTACCAAGTCTCTTGTGGACAAAGACCTGCAATTATAGAAGGTGTCACATTATGCTGCAGCGTTGCAAGCTGCTGAACTCGGGCCCAGCATAAAAAAACCTAAACCCTAAGCCCAACACCCTAAACCCTCAAACCCCTAAACCCCTAAACCCTGAACCTCTCACCCTAAACCATAATTCCGAGGAAGCCGTCGAAGCGAACCATTCGCAACTCTGAGGTGTCCTTTTGCTAGTGCCACCTGTTTGTTGGGTTTTTAGGTTTAGAGTTTCGGGTTCAGGGTTTAGCGTTTCGGGTTTGAGGTTTAGAGTTTCGGGCTTAGGGTTCGGAGTTTCGGGTGCCAGTTTTGCGAAACAAGCTGCAACACCCCACCTGGATCTTTTGAAGCTGGCCATCCGTGACCTTCAACGGGCTCTGCGCACGACCGCTTTCCTCTGCGGCTGGAGCCATTGCAAACTGCGCTGCAAAGACCGAGAGGATGTTCTGCAAGTTGCCCTCAATGATGCGGGCAAGCTCGCACTTTTTCTGCAATCGAGCGTATGCCTTTGCGCGAGGCGACAGGACTTTCACCTGGGCCGCGCGGACCACATGCGTAGGGTAAGAACTCACACCATTGGACCTCCGCCGGCTTGTTATAGAACCCTTATACATCCCTTATGACCCATTAAACCCTTATAGATCCATCAACGAAGTTGGACTTATCGAAGATGGGGATCTCGTTGATTGATGGTTACTCGGCTCTTTAGGGTAATTACGGTGCTGTAAGGACTTTATGTTCATATTGGCTTTCTGGGTGGGTAAGAAAGGTCGCACTAGCCTCTTGACATTTTTTAACTGGGTTTCATAGGGTTCTAAACGACTCGTAGCGACTTGTGAAGGTCTATACATGCTTATAACGGCTGCTATTTCATAGATCTATGAGTAGCAGCAAATTAAAGGGACCCTTATTGGGGTTATGGTACTTAAAAGTCTACAAAATAGCTACTTCGACCCTACAAGTAGGAACCCTTACAATAACTAGGGCCAAAGTATACACCGCATGAGTACATGGACCCTTCGGCACCGACCCCTAAACTCTACCAAGTAACCCTAAATCCTATAAACCATAAACCAAGACACCCCAAACCCTAAACCGCATGAGATCCGAAACCAAGAAACCCTGAACCCTAAACCCCATAAACCCTAAACAAAAAACACACTGAAGCCCATAAGCCCTGAACCAGAAAAAAACCCAAACCCTAAACCCCATGAACCCTAAACCAGAAAAATCACACGAACCCTAAACCTCGTAAGGCAAAGCCTCCAAAACCCCTTAATTAAGGAATATACCTTAAATCATATTATGGATCCTACTATACTTTAAGGTCTATTCCTTAATTAAGGGGTTTGGGAGGCTCTGGGCAAAGCAGGCCTGAGTCGACTGGCTTGGTCAAAGCCGACGTAGTGGATCACGATGCGCCCAAGCGAGTCGCCCTGGGCTCGTGATTCAGGGTTCCTTTGCATGAGGGTTAGGGTTTAGGGTTTAGGGTTTAGGGTTTAGGGTTTAGGGTTTAGGGTTTAGGGGTTAGGGGTTAGTAGAGGGGTCCCTTAAATGGGTTCCGTAAGGGCTTCGATAGGGGTACTATAGGGCCTTAATACTTCGAATAGGGTTTTGGGGCCCATTATACTAGAATGAACTATAATAAAGAACCCCCAAAATAGTATAGGCAGTTATTCAAATTTAGGCCACTATAGTAGGGCTTAGGATTCCTCTGCATGAGGGTTAGTAGGATAGACGGGCCTCTATAAGGGTTATTGTGCAGGTTTCTATCATAGTGAGGGTCAGTAGAATGGAAGGCTCTCTGAGGGTTAGGTTTCTAGAGTAGGGGTCATTACGAGGACTTCTGTCAGGGCTTCTCGCAGGGACCGTTACAATCAGAATAGGGTTTTGGCGTGGATGCGGGCTCAAGCCTGTCGACGAAGAGCGAAACAAAGGATGACATATGCATCCTCAGGGAGTGTGAACAAAAGCGACAAGTGGTAGCTACATTTTCTAGGGACCCCTATACTACGTACAATATTTTGTGTTCCTGGCATTGTTCATTGATCGCGGCTTTCTTGGAGGCCCCACCCCAAAGGGTCCAAGTATCACTATATGGTATATACTTAGACTTAAACCCCCCGAATACCCGGTAAGTATTAGTAAGTATATACAATAACGATACTTGGACCCTTTGGGCACCCTCCCCGCCCAGACACCCTGAACGCAAAACTATGGAGCTGACTCTATAACCCTAAACCCTAAACCCTAAACCCTAAACCTCCAAAGCCCTATAGGGCCCCTAGAGTTTAGGGTTTAGGGCCTATAGGGTTTAGGGTTTGGAGTTTAAGGTTCAGGGTTTAGGCTTTAGGGTTTAGCTGGGATGCCCAATAACCTAGGAAATACAAGGGCTCCCTTTTTGGTACTGGGTAACTTTATAAGGAACCTAGGACTACAAAAAGGGAATAAGGGTACTACTGGGCATCCTAGTATAAGACCCCTAAAATTTAGGATTCTGAAATCTCCAAAACCCTAAACCCCACACGCCTTGCTGTAACCCTACTACCTGAAAAGCCAAACCAGAACAAAAGAAGGCTGTGCAACATCCGCACTCAGCTGGCTGCCAGGCCTTCTTCAGCTTCTCCCTCATCTTGCCTAAGATCGCTTCAATGCGGGGCCCTTATAGTTGGACAAGGGTTTCGGGGTATGTTATGCTGTATTTAGAATGTGGAACCCGCGAATAGTCTCGATAAGCTCTTCAGCTCGCTATATTAAAATGAAAGACGGTCTGGGGTTTAGGATGCTGAGGGACGCAAAACTGCAGGGTATGAAGACTTTCGGGCTCATTTTGGATATTCGGGTCGGTGCACACAAATGTGCAACTACATACGAGCCTGCATACACAGCTTGGTAGGGAAGGGCCGCTTCTTCAGATGTGCCACCTTTGTGGTTTGTCGGGTTTAGGGTTTTTAGGGTTTAGGATTTGAAGTTTCTGTGGCTTGGGGTAGGGTTGACAGTTGACAAAAATCGCCACCGTAGATGCACTGCAGGGGCTTGAGTCCAACAGACCATGAGTGTGCCGAGCCTGCAAGCTACTACTTACATCAATGTAGGAACTTGGTTTAAGAAACTCTGGTTCTTCTGAGGACTCTCAAAAAACTATTTATTTATGGTTTAGGGCAGCTGAAACGTTTGCTGCTCTGAACCAACTGAGCCTATTATGCCCATAAGCCTTGACTCTGTTATAAGCCTATACGGACCCCAAAATAAGGTACCCCTATTTTTCGGAACTCCCAAATGAGCCGTAAACCCTCAACGAGAGGTACTACATTTACCCTAAACCCTAAACAGACAGGGCCAGCTTAAAAATCAGCATCTCGGCTCGTGCACGCGAGTTCTGTCACCCAAAAGGTCCCAAGTACCTTCCTTTAAGGACACTATAACCGGTTAAGGTTTCGGGCTTAGGGCTCCTATAACGGCTTCTTTAAGCGCCCTATGGTTATTAGGGTCTAAGGTTTAGGGTCCTTCCTACCTGTATAGCAGTAGAATGTAGGGCTTCTACGGTAGGAATTGCTATTATGATGTGGGACCTTCCGTCACAGTACCTGGGTGCCTTTGGGCACGGGGTTCCTTTCTAAGGGTTTCTGTCTTTGATTCTTTGGAATACCGGCTGGCAAGGAATAGTCTTGGTAATATAGGGGCCTTGATACTTAGAATAGGGTTTGGGGGCCCATTATACTGTAACTATAATAAGGAACCCCCAAAATAGTATAGGTAAATATTCAAGCCCCGATATTATTTGTATCAGACCTGTCTGGTTTACCAGAATTTGCAAAAGTTTGGGCATTGTGCGGCACTTCTAAACCCTAAACCCTGAACCCTACGGCCTGCACACCCCAGTTTAAGGACCCGAGACTTTCTGAATACGGCACCTGAAATATGAGAGCCCGCCATAGTAAACGTAAAGCCGCAAACACCACCCGATCACCAATATAGATCCTTGCCGGATGGCGATTTCCTTGCCAAAGGTAGCCACCCCCTGCGCGCCGCGTTGTGGTCACCGGGTCCTCGGCTAAGTTTTTCTGTTGCAACTTCTACAAAGCTGCAGCTACCGAGCCCCAAACCCGATGCAAGCGATCTGCAGGTTTAGAGGCAGTTCAGGGGTCCAAGCTTATGTAGTTTCTAAACCTAAGAGTAACCTAGGAATATAAACGGTGCCCTTTTTGGTTTGTGGGCTTATCAGGGAGCCTGAAACCCCCAAAAGAGGGAATAAAGGCCTGCTCTGGGCCTGGGTTTTTGTGTTCAGAAAAATGGGGGACATGGCAAGTTTTGAGGTTTGGTTGTTTCACTGCCTAGAAGATCCACGGTCCAGCTGGACATGGTTCCAGCGAATTCATGCCTCCGATTTCCTATACTGAACTTTAGAACCCTGGCCAAAATTATGATTTTAGCTGTTTTTTAGGGTTATAATAACCAAAAACTCAGAAGTATTTCTAAGCACCCCTAAGTTTCCTCTAAATCAGGAGGGCTGGCCATGATGATGGGCCCGCGACATCCTAAACCCTCAACTGGCCCTAAACCCTCATCAGAGGCACCTAAGGACCAAGCTTTGGGCTGTAGGAGTGGAGACATAGACTTGATGGAGTTCGCCCGACCCTAAACCCTGAACCCTAAAATTCTAAAAGAAAAAAACAAACGGGGGGAGGCGGGGGGAGAGGCGCGGTTGAGGATTTGGGTTTGGGGGTTAGGATGGTTTAGGGTCTAGAAGGGTTATATAGATTGCTTTGCGCTTTGAAAGTTGTGTGAGGGTGTGGGGTTAGGTTGCTTTAAAGAAAGTTGTGTGGGGGGATGTTGCGGGTTAAGGCATTAGCGCTTTTAGCGTTGGGGGGGGCCTCTGAGTCCTCTGAGTCACCACTGGCCGTCTGCTCGAACTCGTGTAGATGAGACATCAAACCCAACAGACTGTAATCCAGAGACCCCAATATCCAATTCAGGAATGTACCTTCAGTCATATTCGGGATCCTACGATAATTTAGGGTATATTCCTTTATTGATTCTGGAGCTTGTGGGTAAAACCCCTAGGTTTAAACCTACGGCTCGAAACCACAAAGCCGAAACACCCAAGACTTCACATCTACCGCCTGTCGCATGCTGGGTTTGTAGGTTTGCGCTTACATGATCCACTGCAAGCTCCAGTCTTTGCTGCGTGAGAGCCCGCTCCGAGATGCATTCCTAGTCATAGCAGGGTCCTACCTAAAGACTCCAAAGTCCTTGCACTAAGGAATATACCTTGGGTACTGCCCCCACAATGTAACAGTCTATAGGGGTCAAATTTTATCTAAAGGGCTACATGTGATCATACTGAAAGGCTATCCAACTGTGACAGAATGCGAACAGTACCAACAAATACACCTTACAAGCCATGTTCAGGATCCCTCTCAGTGGAGTCTATGTTCCCCTAAGGCCCTGACATAGGCCTTATAGAACCCCGATAACGAGCTCCAGCCGACACCACCCTTCGAACATCTTCTAAAACACGACAGACCCTGAACATCAAAACGACCTATAACATCTGATAGAACCATAATTAAAAAACAATATAATTTGATAGAATCCTGTAAAAGCCCTGTACCATGCGAAACAAAACACCATGCAAATCGTACAAAGTTTTATTCACAAAACCTATACATAGGCACACCAAAACAGAAATCCCAAACCCCTTAGCCCCTAAACCCTAAGTCCTTAAACCCTAAACCCCAAATCCCAAAACCCTGACCCCCTAAACCCTAAATTTTACCCTAAATCCCTAAATGCTAAACCCCAAACCCCCTAAACCCTAAATCCCTAAACCCCTAAACCCCTTAAACCCTCAACCCCTAAAACTTAAACCCCAAACTCTATAACGACAGCGAGCTCCGGGTCTGGTGGCGATTGGCTCCTGGGAAATGGGTTACTTAGAGGCCCAGGGGACTTAGTGTAAGGGTTCCTTAAAGGGCTCCTTCAAGGGATCTATAGGGTTCCTTAAAGGGATCCATGGGGTTCAGGGTTTAGGGTCTACTTGGAGGGTCAGGGGGCTTAGTAAGTAGGATATAAGTAGAGTTACAAGTCCCCTGAATGGAGTTACCCCAACTATAACCCTACGTATAACCGACTTACTAAGTCCCCTGGGCCTCCAAGTAGGGTTTAGGGTTCAAAGGTTTAGGGTTGAAGTTTAACGGGGTTTAAGGGTTTAGGTTTTAAGGTTGAAGGGGTTAAAAGGTTTAAGGTTAAAGGGGTTAGGGTTTAAGGGTTCAGAAAAGGTTGATGTTTCTGGGGTCCAGGTAGGGTTCAGGATTAAGGTTCTGGGGTTGAGGGTGGTTTAGGGTCTGCGGCCTGAAGTATTAAGCTTTCAGGCTTAGGGTGCATGGCTTCCGGGTTAAGGTTACGAGCTATCTAATTAGGCGTCTCAAGATCGGAGCGGATTCGTTTGGGGCTTTAGGGTTTGGGGTTTAGGGGTGAGGGTTTGGGGTGAAGGCTGAAGGTGTTATTATTTGGGGAGTTTGCCGCAGGCAGCCGTCTAAGGAGCCAGGGGACCCAGGACGCAGCAAGTGTAGATTCAATGAGCAAAATGCCGTGGTTAGTCTTGATGCTCAGATGGCTTACCTAGTCGTACTCAGAGGTGCATTGGTGGGAGACTCGTTTCGAGCCGAGCTGCTGCGCGCAGAACGGCCGACGCAGTCTCGTCTGGCGACTCTTGGGCGCAACCTCTGTCGGTGCCGGCAGTTTCTTGCGCACCTGCTGCAGCAACTCAGCCGGGATCGCATCGAAGCGGACAAAGAGCATTGGCCACACGGCGGAGCCTTCGTAGTTGGCTCCCATGTTCTTGCTCGTAAGCCATAGGGGCTTGCCGCGACTGACGCGAGACCAGGCTGGGTTCTACTGGCGTTCGCCTGCTGCAAGGCAGAGTTGGTGGCAACTACGGAGCCAGTCGTCATTGTCATTGCATCGGTCGAAAGCGTACTGTTCCCACACAGTGTCTTGCTTCGAGGGCTGCGGAGGCACAGGGTCTGCCAAATCCACATGTGCCCAACCACTGTAGAACTCTTTGGCTCGTGGAAGAAACCAAGAAACCAAACTTTGCTTTCGCTCAAGCAAAGTGTCATAGTCCCAGTCTGCAACATGCTTCATGACTTCGATGAGCTTGCTTTTTGCGGAAGTCTGATGAACCTCCCACAATTGGCTTTTCCAGCCAACACCATCCCTTGATCGCTTCCATAAGCTTGTGTCGCAGAGCAGGACAACTGGAACAAGTGGACGGCTCCAAGTCGGTCCGGACCGGCTACTCCTGGCACCTGTAGCATCTCCTTGCTGGGGTGCTTGGCCGGAGCAACCTTGCCTGGATAGCCCACAAACTGCGTAGCTGCTTGGTAAAGGTCGCGCCAGCTTGTGAGGCCATCCATCATCAGGCTGCTGAGTGGCTTGATACGCTCTGAGAAGGGCCGACGGTGAGACTCTGCGACGGGCTCCAGCATATTCTCATGGTCTGTGGGTCGTAAGTCCCAAAGACACATGTAATTTTTATGTTTTGGAAATTGACAACTCCATGGTGGTAAATAAGCCGAAGCGGGCAGATCAAGCATAGTCAACCGGTGCATTACCAGCTTGGTGTATCGCATCGGACTACAAACTGACCCTACACCCAATGTCCAAACCCTGAACACTGAAACATTACTCAAAGCATCTTAAACCCTCAAACCCTACTCCCTTTTAACCCTAAAAGCCCTTGAACCCTTCAACCCTGAAACATTACTCAAAGCATGTTAAACCCTCAAACCCTGAACCCGTGCACCCTTAAAGCCCTTGAACCCTTAAACCCTGAAGCCCTACTCCCTTTAACCCTAAAATCCTTGAACCCTTAGCACCCTTGACCCATTATAGTAGAAGCCAGAAAGTTGGAACATCACTATCCTCGTGGCCTCAATGTAAAGTAAAAGGGATCCTAGCACTAATCCTCCAAAAGCCATGTTCCAACTTTCCGGCTTCTACTATAACTAGTTCATGGTTGGGATAGGATTAAAAATGTACTTGTTTTTATTGCTTGTTGGGTTTAAGTACCCATAAAACTGTAAAACGTTACCCAACTATGACAAAGATAAACCTACAGAAGGGCGCTCCTCGCCGCTGACTTCGTAGTTCTTGCGCTCGTGGGTGGCCAACATAGGCCTCCCCAATGCGCAATGCGGAATGGTTTAGGAATTTCAAAGATTTTTTTGGGGTTTTTAGGATTTTTAGGGTTAGGGTTTAGGATTCTTTTTGTGGGCCCTTTTCCAACTGCAGGTGCAGCTAGAATTCGGTTTAGGATTTTAGGGTTCAGGGTTTGGGTGGGGAGCTTCGGGTTGATTAGGTTTGGGGGGTTCAGAGACTCGTGGGTTAATGCTGTGCATGATTTTACATATCGTTGAAAATCTAACTTAATACTGGGATTCGTAGCATTTCAATGACAATAAGGTTTTCAGGTATATCATGCTGTATTTATAGACAGGAGCCCCAAAGAATAACATTACTAGTCCTTCCCCTTGGGCTCCAAGCATACAAATGGAGCCCCCCCCCCAAGTAGTAGAGGTAATTATTGAAGGGCCCCTACGGTGTATCTTGGGTACGGCCCCCACTCGGTAAAAGTTGAATAATATTCATAGTATAGATACATTAGGACCTTAATAGTAGCCCTATCATAGACTACTTACTGTATGGGGGCAGTACCTAACCTTCACCCTAAACCCCTCAAGCCCTAAAATCCCCAAAACCCCTAAAGTTAAACCCTAAACTAAGCCCCTTCACCTCTTAGAAACTCAATGTCTTAAAGCTAAGATTAAGGTATATTACTTGGAGCCCCAGGGTTATGAAGCCTCGGGCCTGGTCGGGTTGTCCACCCGATTCTGCACGCAGGCCGCGCGCCCACGGTGCCATGGAACCAGCTCCTGTCTGGGGAACCAGCCCGAACCCCACGAGCCCAAGACTCTAAACTCTCTGAACTCTGAAGGTTAGGGGCTGCAGGTTTGCTTGTTTCTAAAAGGGCCTTTGCGAGTCTGCATGAAGCGTATAGCTTTAGGGTTTGGGCGGTTTGGGGTTTGGGTTTAGGGCATAGACCGACGCATGCCGAAACCAACGTGCTACACAAAAAACACAGTTCTAGGATGCCCAGTAACCTAGGAACAAAAAGGGCTCCCTTTTTTTGGTATTGGGTAACTTTATAACGAACCTAGGACCTAGGACTACAAAAAGGGAATAAGGGTACGACTGGGCCTCCTAGAGTTTCTGCACCTCAAACCCAACATACCAAAACCCCCAGCACAGATCCCTGGGCCACAAACTCTACACATCCCCAAACCAATTGCTTGAAACCCTCCTCCCCTAGATGCTTCTCCGAACATTCGTGCCAAACCGAACCAGTCACCTACAATCCAAAACTTTCAATCCTACCATACACATGAAAACCTCAACCCGCAACCCCACAGACCCTTCAACCCCGGAACCATAAACCCTAAACCCCTGAAGCCCTAAATCCTAAACCTGGAACCCCTAAAACCCCAAAACCCCTGAACCCCTAAATCCTAAACCTTACTAACCCCCTGAAACCCTAAACCCCTGAACCCCTACATCCAAAACTCTGAAACCCTAAACCCTCAAAAACCCCTGAACCCCAACATCCCAAAATCGATATTCGGAGCCTTTTCAGCTCGAAACAGCTCCACCTCGACACCTTGGGATTCAGTGTACTATAGGGGCCTTAATAACTAGAATAAGGTTTTGGAGAACATAGTAAAGGTAATTATAAATGCCCTATATTGAAGGGCTTGGGGTTTTAGAATTAGAATTTCGGGGATGTAGATTTTGGTGCTTGAGAGCGTAAGGGTTTGGTTTGGAGGCTTTTGATTTCAGGCCTTGGGCTTTAGTGTTCAGGGGTGGGCAGCCCCAGGGATCTAAGAACCCATCTATTCAGGCTTTTGGGCCCAAAGACCATCCTATATGAGGCCTTTGGACTCTTTTGATGCCTAGGGCAGGTGTAATGTAGGGGCCTGAATAATTAGAATAGGGTTTGGGAACCCATTATACTTTTATTGTAGTAAGGAACCCCCAACATAGCATTGGTAGTTGAGGCCCCTAGAGTATGTCTTCAAGGCCTTTCAGGCTGAGCTGTGTGAGTCAGCTTGGGAATTCTCCACCCAGCTCCGATAAACGTAACCCTAAGGATGCAGGGTTCCTTGAAGGGCTTCTTTAAGGCTACGGTAAGGGTTCCTTTATTTGAAGATTCTAGAAGGGTTTGGGGTTTAAGGGTCCCAAATAGTATATACTTCGGCTCTAAATATATCCTATATAGGTACACTAGGCCCAAAGTCTGTACTATTTGGCTACATGGACCTTTAAAGGGTAAATGAAACCCAAGACTTCGCGTTCAGCGATACGGGTTCAGGATTCCCCAGGTTGACAGGTATGACAAGGCTAAAGCCCTATAGACCCTACAAGGACCCCCCCCAATGGCACTTTAATGGAGCCCTCTATGGTCCTTGATACTGGCTATTTAGGGTATATCAGAAGGTAGTTGGGGAGGGGGGTCTAAGTAGAGGGCTTTAAGGCTCTAGCTTTTGGGTTTAGGGTTTTGGCTCTCGGGCTCCTACATCCCAAAGGACCCCAAACCCCAACCCGTCTAAAGTTGAGGCAGCAAACCCTGAACGCTGAACTTGGCTGTAGGTTTCAGGCTTAGGGACTCCTAAAGACAATCCTTATTATTCCGGGTTTGGGGGCCTGCCTCCCTAGCAGTTGTATACATGAAGCCTCTCGGAGAGGCCTAAGAGCCTCCAGGTGGCTTAGGGTTTGGGGTTGAGGTTAAGGGCTTAGGGTGCAACAGAGTACTCATATGGATGGTTGTCAAAATGATGATCCCTTTTGGGGGTCCTTACTATAGTACGGCACCTAATATTTAGGGTACCCAAAAAGGGACCCTAATTTTGAACAACCACCCATATAATAAGGGGCCTTCGTAACTCGCAACAGGGGTTTACTATGAAGCGGTGAGTCGCCCCTCAGGAAAACTATCCAGTCAAGCCCTAAACCAGCAATACTCTAATCCCCCAGGCTGGCCTTGTAGCGCCTCTGAAAACTATTTGTTTATAGGGCCCAATTGAGCCCAATAAGGGAAAATATAAACTAGCCCAAAGGCCTACCTAGTGTCTACCCTGAGCCCTTAAACCTAAACCAGCAATACTCTAACAAACCCTAAACCCTAAACCGTCAGTCTCTACAAGCCGGAGATCCTTGAACCCCGACTCCGATGCGCCTCAACACTTCAAACCCATTAAAGGGAACTCCAGAAAGTTGGAATATGGTTTCAGGATAGGATACCCTATAACTTACCATAGAAGGGTTTAGGATAATCATATGCCAACTTTCTGGCTTTTACATTAACGTAACCTCAAAGCACCCTAAACTCTCAACACCCAACCCTTAGCTCGGATGCCCAGTAACCTGGGGATAAAAGGGATCACTTTTTTGGTATTGGGTAACTGAATTTGGAACCTAGGACTACAAAAAAGAAAAAAGGGCCTAGTTAACCGTTACTCATGCTACAACCCAAAGGAATTGCCAAGCTGCCGTATTCTACACCGTATTCCCCACTTGTTATGTTCGGCAGAGGGGAGGTACCCTTAACCCCACAACCCAAAAACTTAAACCCTAAACCCCTAAAGCCTTAAACCCTTATACCCCTAAACCCCTAAACCCTTATACCCCTGAACCCCTAAACCCTTATACCCCTAAACCCCTAAAGCCTTAAACCCTTAAACCACTAAACCCAAAAAACCCTGAAACCCTAAACCCCTAAACCCCTAAAGCCTTAAACCCTTAAACCACTAAACCCAAAAAACCCTGAAACCCTAAACCCCCAAACCCCTAAACCCCTAAAGCCTTAAACCAGGGTGCATCGAAGAGCCGACGTCTCGGCATCCTCCTGGCCTTCTGGCACCGTGAAGACGAAGGGCCGGTAGGTGGTTCCTGGGTAAGACTTAGAAGCCCAGAAGACGTCAAAGTTCTTTTAAGGAGTTCCCTTAAGGCTTTCTATAAGGATTCGGGATTCTATAATTACAAGGGCTCTAAATGCAGTACTTAGAGGCCCAGCCCCAAGGGTCCAAGTACCCATTAATCATATACTATCCCATATCCATTAATACTATCCTAAAATCGAGTACCTTTGGACCCTTGGGGCAGGGGATGTCAGGGTTCCTTTAAGGGTTCTACAAGGATTCTGTAAGGGCTCTAAATGTAGTGCTTGGAGGTTCAGGGGACTTAGTAAGTAGGTTGTAAGTAGAGTTGTAAGTGCCCTAAATTGAGTTAGTCAAAAACCGACTTACTACATCCCCTGGGCCTCAAAGTATAAGCTTCCTTTTGCGAGGTTTAGGGTTTAGGGCCTAGGGTCGCACGGGGTTTACGGTTTAGGGTTTGGGGGTTTAGGGTGGAGCCCAATAGGGTTCGTTTTGAAAGGTTCGTTCAGGGTATACTGGTTCAGTATAAGGGTTGACCTTAAGCCTAAAACCCCAAACTGCCCAGCATTTAATGTGTTTATGATAGTAGCAGTGTAGGTTAGTGCTTGGGGGAGTATGATGATTATCAGCGGCCTCGACTTTGATATTTAGATATAAGTATGCGAGTTGGGGTTTGGACGTTTTGGGGTTCAGAGTTAAGGGTCTTAGGCTGGCGTTTTATAGAGATCCCAATGATTCACTGTATGCTTTGTAGGCATTTTGCCGAGATGGCACGAAGCATCGTTGATGGCTCGGAAATTTACTCAATAAGTATATCGGCCAAAAACCAGTCAGTCACTCGGACGGGGTTAAGACTTCCTTGCGCAGGTTTGGGGTTTCAGGACCCCCGCCGCCGCCAGCTTCTCCACCACATTCGCAGCTGCTTCTGCGGCCGACGCGCGAAAAAGCTGAGGAATGTGGCGTCGCAGGTTTTCCGGCAGAGGCTCTGGCATGAAGAGCGACCATTTCTCTTTGCCTCCGTCGCAGCCAATCATTCCACGGCTTTGGTCTCCTTGCACAAGCTTCGTGGCACTCCAGATCAGCACTGCCCTCACACTGCATCCGCCTCCACTCTCACCAGGATCGAAATTGCCTGCATTCCAGTACTCCCATCATGTTGACCCCTCCCAACATGCACTCTGCAAAATGCCATGATTCCATGGACTTTCTGGGGTCTGCCACGACCGACACAAGCTGCTCTCTGCTGGGAAGTTTATTCAGTAAGTATATGGGAGCTTCCGAAAGCAGGGGTCCTTGATGTAGTACCCTGAATAGTAGGATCCTTGTTATAAGGATTCCAAAGTAAGGTAATGTTAATTTTCGGAAACTCCCATATGGTCTGGTCTGGCGTGCTAAGACTGCTAAGGCAACCCACAGGAACTGAGCACATCTTAACTGACAAGAAACCCAATTGCTGAAGAGCCGGCTACGGGATAACCGCATGGAAATACCTTGCTTAAGAGCTTGAAAACCCTGTCGAGACTAGGACTACAGCCAAGCGCCTCCTATAAAAATAAATCCAAGCTCAAACTGAAACTGCCCTAACCACCACAGGAGAACAACGTAGCACATGCGCATCAATCGCACGGCAACTGTGTGGGATAAATTTTATGCTGTGGCAACATGTAATACCCTAGACCTTAAAGCTTGCAACGCAAGGAACTTTCTCTAGGGATCTAAGGACTCACATGTTAAGGCTTTTGGGCCCAAAGACCATACTATATAAGGCTTTTGGGCTATGTTGATCCCTAGGGTTTGACACCTTCGGAAAACCATGGCGGGTTCACTCTCGGCGCTAAGCAGGGTGCTGTAAATTCCCCTCCCGGTCACCTGGCCTCTCATAAAACTCTACAAAACCACCAAAAAAAACTTCGTTACCAACTAACCCCAAACTCTCACACTAAATCCTTACTGGAAAAGCTGAGCTGATCCCGAGCTGCGCAGATCCATTGCTGAGCCTTGCGCCGCCTGCTGCCTCGGGCTTCAGCGTTTAAGCTTGTGGCTTATGTGGCTTGGGGCTTAGCGGTCTAGGGTTTAGGATGGCTTATGTGGATTCGGGTATGGGATTTTGGGTTACCCCATCTATCTACCCTCAACCCTAGACTCTAAACCCTCTTGACAAGCGGTGTAGGGGTTTCAGTCTTGGGTCTTGGGGTTTAAGGTCCTCGGGCTCTGTTAACAGCTTATGGGGTTTAGGGTGTCGGGCTTGTAAGGCCTTACATAAGGCTTAGGCTTTCTGTTTGCTTGAGGGATTAGGGCTTAGTTGGGGTTGGTAATTCACGGTACGGTGACTGCATTCAATATCAAGGCGTTCCCAACAAGGAATCAGGGACCTGCCAGACAGAAATTTCTTAGCCCAGCATCCAGGTGCACAACGCAGCCACACCCCCTGCTGGCTATGCTGCTTCCTCCTTTGCTGTGCTGTTGCTGCTGTTTGCTGCTATTGCTGCCGCTTCATGTGCTGCTGCTGCTGCTGCTGCTGCTGCTGCTGCTGCAGGGCTGGAGGGGGCTGGGGGGTTGACTGGAGGTTCGGAGGCTGGAAGCAAAGGGGTTTAGAAATCTATGTACACCCTGAGCCAACCTCAAGTTTCTTATTGCCGAAATGCCTCAACACGAAATTTCCAAAGTCTGATCTAATCTACGCCCGTTTCGGATCGAAAAGATCGGCCGTACTTTCCCGAGGCACGCAGCTGCTTTCTCTTTCAATGAGTGAACCCCGCCACACTGACTGAATGCAACGCCGTTAACTCGAAGCTTTCTGAACTAGTATGGGCCTTAATAAATGTATAATGCCTGGGAGTATACCGTAGCACAACTTTAATTACCGTAATTCATTATTAAATGCATAGTCCGTAATGACATAATGTACCCAATGGGTCCATATATACTACTCTTGCGGAAATAGCTCCCCAAACCCTACCATGGATGGTCTTTCGGGACAAAACTCCAGTACCACTATGTGCAGGGGTTACTACGATCTATTCCGACACCTGTAGTAGAACAGAAAAACGGCAAAGGCCAAACTTCGGACCAACCATCCTTGGGCCCTCGTTCTTCGAAAAACAAGAATTGCCACTCACCATCTTCCGGTGACTGGGGAGCTTTCTACAAGTTGGAGTTCTGTACATTGTGCTAGGGTTCCCTGGGCCGCCTTTCAAGCAGCTAGGCAAAGCTGATCTAGAGTGTAAGACCCTATGCCACATGGCATGATGGTCTGAACCACCCTGACATTTCTTCTTGCGGCTGTCTAGTGTGTGGCCTCCTAGGTATAGGAACCCCTCTGAGGCAATTTGCTCACTATATGAGCAATATGAACATATGCAAAGATAATGTAGAATATATACCGGCTTTCGTCAGCTACAAGAAAACGGATATGAGTTGCATTGTACATTCGGAACCCTTACTAGGGAACATCTATAGCAGTTGTGGTTAATGTTCCGGCTCCAAACCCTATACTACATGGACCCTCGGCAAACCTACACGCCCCTTTGAAACATAATAAAAACAATATTTTCAATATTCTCTTGGATTCAATGAACAAAGGTTAAAAACACTTCCTGAGGAACCTATACTGTTCGTCCGAGTGGCACCACTCGCTGCGTTTCAAAGCCCTGGAACGTGCGGCTTTTGCCTCGCCATACCGGAAGGAAGCTGTCCTCATTGCACAGGACCTTGCCGAGGCAAGTGAACCCTCTGAACCCTGAGCCTTAAGACCCTGAACCCTAAAACCCCGAACCCTAAGACCCTGAACCCAAAACCCTGAACCTTAAACCGCAAATCCTGAAAGCAGCCAGTATTGGGACCCATTAAGCCGCTGTGCGTGAAAGGCTCTGCCCGCCAGCTTTGGGTTTTAAGGTTTGCAGTTCACCAAGACCCCCCCCTTTCATAGAGCCCTTGTGGCCCTCACGAATGGGTATTTACGGTATATTAGAAGGTAGTTGGGGAGTCTAAGTCTAGGCAGGGCTTAGGGTTTAAGCCAACACCACGAACAACAACTTCAGCCAGAACCATCTTGGAAAACAGAACCCGGAAGGCACAGCACAAAGGCTACCGGCCAAAGGCGTTGCATCATGAATCTGTGGTTTTACGCGGAGCCCCTAAACGTCAACCAAACATCAGTATAATATAAGTAGACCCCCCCAGGCTCGAAACCCTAAGCAAAGAATGGTTTGTAGAGGATGTCCAATATGCTGCACAGAGCATTTCGGTAAGACCCAGACGTTCCCTTGACAGTTCCTTTCTGTGTACAGCAAGACGACCCATGGGAGGGCGCGGCTTGCGAAAGTTCGCTTAGCTCCCTTTTGCTCCCATGCGTTCGGCTGACATTTCTACTCCAGATGTTGTGCTAAACGTTATGGCGCTGTGGTTAGCCCATCGCCGTGCCCGCAGACAGGAAAGTGATGGCTAACTGGACTGGAGTTATATCCTTAATTGGCATCCATTTAGTCGCCAAGTGTTTCGCTTCGTGACAATCCGCATGACCGATTGCATAAGTCCTGAACCCTAAACCATCAACCCTGAACCCTAAACCCCGCAGTCCCCGCAGTAGAAGCACAGTGGCACGGTGGCCCTCCACAGAAGCCGTCGCCAGGCAATCCACGAAGGGGCTCCGTACCTTCTCTAGGAGCCACTAATACCTTTAAGGTTTAGGGCCTAGGGGTTGACGAGTTTATGGGTCCTTTAAGGGGGTCTATAAGGGCTCTATAATGGGGTTTAAGGTTTAGGGTTTAGGTTTTTGTAGGGCTTAGCGGGGGTTTAGGAGTCTAGGGGTTTAACCGTCTAGGGGTTTAGGGACAACGAACCCCAGAAAAATGGAACATAGATTTAGGATGATTCATGCTGGGATTCTAAATTACTTGATTTTAAACTTAAAGGCATGAGGATAATGATGTTCCAACTTTATGGCTTCTACTGTAACACCTTTAGGGTTTAGGGGTTTACTTGAGGGTTTAGGGGTTTAGGGGCTTGGGCTTTAGGGATTTATAAGTTTAAGGTGTGAACAAGCGAGGGGATGCTTAAAGGCTTTTCTATTAGGGCTGAGTACACCGGCCTTAATACATATTTCAAACTAGAGTCCTGGGGGTATATCATATTGTAGTTGTCGTAAGGAACCCGAAGGACGACTATTAGTAAACACCCAGGCTGCTACAGCGAACGTGATATCGAAGGGTTTGGGGTTTAGGATGGGATGCGCTATACCATATGCTTAGTGTTCAGGGTTTCAGGTTTCTGTTTTAGGGTCTCGGGTTTGAGATGTCGTAGTGTTTTTCGAGGGTTGAAGTATTATAGCACTCAAGTTTCAGTGAGCGCGATCCGAAAGTCTGTTAAGGCTCCATGCACCTATATACGGTTGATGATATAAATCATGCATGACCCATAACAAGTAATATACCATAACTCCCATAGTTTAGGGTCTGTAAGGTATTACAAGACTTATACCACCAACAGTAGTACGGTATATACTCGGGCCCTATACAGTGCAGGAGACCAGAGACTCCAATCCTTGAGTAAGGGACATGCCTTCAATTATTGTAGGACCCCTAATACGATCCAAGGTATACTTGGGAGTTTCCAAAAATAGGGGACACTCATATAGTACCCTAAATAGTACGAGCCTTAATTAATATAAGGACCCCAAAAGAAGGTATCCCTTATTTTCGGAAACTCCCATTTCTTAATTAAAGGATATCGGAGTCTCTGGGAGCCCCTTTAAGGCCGAAGTATTGACTGCATAGGCACATGGAGCATTCGGGCTGAGATTCCAACTCCTGGAAACCCACTTCCGTCCGAACTCATCTTCAGCTAGGAGGAGGGCCCTGCCGTCAATATAGGGTTTAGGGTCTAGTCTACGGCTTATAGGGCTTAGGGTTGACGGCTCGGCAACGAGGGACACCAAGAACCGGCCCAAAGTGGCTAAGGAGGTTCAAACTTTATAGGACCCCCTACTCCACAGCCCCGAGAACCTTACACAACCCGGGTTTAGAGGGTTTTCGGGTTCCCCTACGTCCTAAGTCCTAAGCCGGCAAACCGTACTAAGGGGCTCACGCTTTAGGGCCCCAAACATCCTCAGCAGCTCGCCTCAATGGTGTACTCTCGGTTCGGGGAAGCGATGACGTATGTCCGGTGATCTGCAGTGACGTCGCGATGCTTTGGGAGGGGCACACCCTCCTGGTCCAGCAACTCCACCTCCAAGTCACCGAAAACGAGACTCCACATGCGTAGTTCCCTGAACTAGGGTCCCTCTTTCCCTCTTTGGATTCCCGAAATAGTACGGCCCTCGCAGAAAGAGGACCCTAAACGGGACTCCGAACACTACCCACATGCTGCTACCATTCCCGAAGGCTCTAAGGACTGACATTTTAAGGCTTTTGGGCCTAAAGACATATTGTAAAAGGCTTTTGGGCCATTCTGAGCCTTAGGGATTCTGCCGGCATGGCTTACGGGTGGAGCATTCGTCCGGAACAGCATGATGGATGTGACTCAGAGGTGCTTATGTTTTGGTTTAGGCTTACAGATTACAGAGTCTAGAAAGAGTTTAGAAAACTTAGCATTGCAGTTGTGGAAAGGTTTTAGGAGCTTTCCCACTTCCTTAAACAATAAATTTGGGGTTACATGGGTCCGTACGGGGGGAATTGACAAACAAAGGGTGCTAAAGCGATTGGTTTCGAGGCAAACGTAGCCACTACCTCGACCTGCCAAAACTTGATTGTTTGTCGGGTCCTAAAAACTCTCTTGAATTCTATGACCAGTTTTGTATGTATAAGACGGCGGAATTCAGGTCAGGTTAGCCTCGATACAGTACAGGGGCCTTACTCATCCAGAATCGGGGGTTGGGGGATGTTTTCTTCTTCATTTATCAGACCATAGGGTTGAAAACCCTTAGATTTAACTTCAAGAGCCTACTTGTCAGGGCTCCTTTTCAGAATTTCCTTGGTATGTAACTAGGATTCAGGGGGCAGGAAAGCCCTATACCGTACTTACTTTTGGTTTGGATCCAATATCTCCTGACAGTCGGAGCACTGGCGCTGCGACGTGGATCATCCATGCTGCATGGTCCGCCTTATGAATTTTCAATGTTGTTTTCGGCTACAATCCGCTGTTTGTCTTCTATAGGATTGTAAGAAGGAATGCTACAGTTGCCCAGTCCTCTTTGCGACTCGGTCCGATTTTGGTCTTGCACTTAGCTCCAAGCTCCAAACAATTAACTGCATGGCTACAGGTATGCAGTCAGAGCTGCAGAAATCAGAATCGGGTTCAACATAAGCAGCAGGAAGCAACATATGAGCAAAAACAACAGGACGACTGGGAATAGAACATAATAGAACCGAGCCGAGCATAGCCAAGGTTTGGGGATGCCCTGCCAAATCGAGTTGAATCTGACAGAACATTGCCGTGATCCCCAACCTTCGTCCCAGAATCCACGGCAGCATATCCAATTCAAATCAATCCGCCTGCCTCGATCCCGCGCAGCATATCCGTCATGGCAAATGTTCGGGTCGTACTTTTGAGGCTACCGCCAAATCAGTACACCCTTCGCCCAAACACCCTGTAGCCTCGGGATCTGAAACCTAAACCTGAAAACCAATGTCCTCAACCTCATGTAATTATCCAGACTTTTGAACTTAAACCTTTTATAAAGGTATATGAATTTATAGATTCCATCAACCCTCCTTTCGTAACCTTCATAATCACCCTGACAGTAGCCCTAGATCCCAACATCCAGTACTCCCTCCCTAACCCTCAAACCCTCATTAAACCCTCTAGAGGAAACTCCGACAACGGCCAGGCGAAAGCGGCGCACGCTTTCACAAAAGCTTGAGCCGCGTCTGAAGCCGAGAAAATGAGCTTTTAGCGTTTAAGGGTTTAGGGTTTAGGGGTTTAGGGTTTAGGATTTCTACCCAGAGAGTCCAAGTAGTCCTTATGTATGTTTTTGGTAACTACAAAAAGACAAGAATGTCCTACAATATTGGGCACTTGGACCCTTAGGCTTGGGGTTTAGGATCTAGGGCTCAGGGTAGGTGGAGACTAAATCGCGTCCCCCAATGATTAAACACCCTCTAAGAATGAGCACACTTTCCGAAACATCCGCCTAAACACGTAGATACCCCCCGAACCCTGAACCCTAAACTCCCGCGCCTCCGCCTCAATATCAAAACTAGTCGCCGATCGGGCTTTATTAAGGGAAGCGGAGCGCCGGGTCAGAATTACAGGATGCGATGAGAAAGGGCCACCTTTCGGTTTAGTGGTTCAGGAATTAGAGTTAAAGGCTTAGGATTTCAGGATTTGGGTCTTGAAGGTTGGGGTTTACCTATAGTCTCCATTGTAGTTCCTTTTTTTGGTTAACCAAAATCTCTATGATAGGATCCTAACCATAAAACTGGTTAACAAAAAAAGGAACTACAATGGAGACTCTAGGTAGAGGTTAGGGATGAAGGCTAGCATTCAACAGGCTACACAGGAGAACAAGCTCAGGACGACAAGACGCACCATTCAAAGGTTACAGTCTGCTCCCCACAGAGCCCATACCTTCTTAATAAAGAGCTTATTACGATGATAAGCCCCTATGATCCCCCAAACCCGCGGTTATGTTCCTAAAGTACGGGCTATTGGACTGTCGGGGCTTTGTCAAGACGTGGGCACACAGAATCTGGGCTCTGGTTCTTGTTGATTTATTATGTTACCATAAATAGTATGGTTTCCTGAAATCTAAGTTACAATAATAGGGATCTATAGTGAATAGTATGGTTTGCTTCTAATGATAATTTTAAAGCAATTCATTAAAACGAACCCAGGAATTCGCGCCGAGGGCTTCTGTGACGTTTTTCTCCCGAAGCGCTAGCGCAGATGAACATCTACAGAAATCCCCCTGAGCGCCCAAAGGACCCAATAATTAGGTACTCAGGCTTCGGATAGTAGTTATGCAGGTTACTATTTGGGAGAGTATATGATTATTGGGAACTTGGACCCTTACGGTATAACAGGGTTTAGGGTGTAGGGGGCCCTTATAGAACCTCAAGACCACTTTTAGGCCCGAAAATTCTTGAGAAGCCAAGATTTTCAAACTAAAGCCCTGATAGATCTCTAAGACCACCTCAAAGCGTGGCCAAAGGACAGATGCAGCCCTACTCTTAAACCCGAAACGGCGGCCAAAGCAAAGGCGCCGTCCGCAGCCCTAAACCCTAAACCTTCAACCCTAAACCCTAAACCTTAAACCCTAAACTCCAAACTGCGGCCAAAGCACAGGTGTAGCCAAAGGTTCCCGCCCGCGCGCGCCCAAACGCTGCGCAGAGCCAGGAAAGATCCAGCCAAAGCCGAGCAAACCTGGCTTAAAGGGGTTTAGGGTTTAGCATTTTAAGGGTTCAGATGGGGTCAAGGCTCAGGTTTGAGGTTTCATAATTCTTTAATGGATCCTTCAAGTAGTCTACAGGGTCCTGTATTGGATCATCTAAGGGGTCCTTTTGACAGATCTACAAGGATGCAAAACGGCTTTACAAGATTTGAGGAATTTTGTTTCCGGGCCTTTCTGAGGGATAAGTCGGCGTTCGGGCTTAGGGGATGGATTTATGAGGCCGTGTAAATGGGGTTTATAGATTGATCGACGCTGCTGTAGTGTTTTGTTAGGGCTCGTGGAGTTTTGGGCTCACGCTTTTCGAACGAGACCTGTGAATCTTGGCCCTTCGCCTGCTCACCTCAAAGCCTAGCCCCTCAACCCGAAACATGAAACCCTGCACCCTAAACCCCTAAACCCTAAACCCCAAACCCCTAAACCCCCAAACCCTAAACCCCAAACCCCTAAACCCCTAAACCCCTAAACCCTAAACCCCAAACCCCTCAACCCCCAAACCCCCAAACCCTAAACCCCTAAACCCCTAAATGTCCAAACCCCTAAACCCTAAACCCTTTTGCAACGAAGCCTGACTCCGACCCCACCGGATTTGTAGGAGTTTCCACTCCGCAGGAAAGTGTAGGACGCAGATCAAGAAAGCTTGGGTGTCGACGGGTTGATGAGGGCTTCATGTAGCTAACGGCTGCCACACCACGAGCTTCACTCACGCCGCAAACGCCAACAACCTTGAATCACAGATCTCTACCCCTGTAGCCCCGCAGCACCACACAGCTAAATCTCCTAGAGAAACAACGCTACACACATGCCCTAAACGTGTCTGAAATCCAAACAACCCTTCTGGGAAGGCCCGCCATCCCTCACGGTTTAATTCGGCTTTAACACCCAACCCAGCACCCTAAAGTTTAGCACTAATCTCTTTTTGTGGAGGAAAGTGGCAGAAAGCATCAGCACGATGGTCATGCCGGCAACCCAATCACCCGCAAGCTCTGGCTTTGACCTGGGTTATGCCCAGCTTTGGGGGGCGTCGGAGTATATACCCAGACTCCAACATCCCTTAATTAAGGAATATACTTTGAATCATATTAGGGATCTGACTATTACTTAAGGAAAACTATTGAACTTACTACCCCAACAAGCCACAGAAATAGAAGTTTGAACTTTCCGATTCCTACTAAACTATAAAAGTCCCAAAAAGTTTAAAGGTTAGGTATTGCGGATCTAAGTGAAGTAAGGGGGGTTGGAGTCTCTGCGTAAGGTGTCATAGGGGGGTTGGAGTCTCTGCGTAAGGTGTCATTACCAGCCTGCCAGAGCAAAACTCCAAAAGAAGAACAGCGCTCCATGAACAAAGACGGCCTGGCACACCCACCAAATCCCTAGAGTTCAAGCCTGCATTGACGTCTTGCTACATCCCTTCCCTGGACCCTCAAAGTATGTAGAATGATAGCCTTGAATAGGGTTTGGGCCATTATTTTACCTATTTTGGGGGGTCTAGGTAAGGCCTTTCCGGATTGAAACAATCCCGACTGTACAATCCTTAAAGGATCATTTGAGGGTTCCTACACCGGTTTCGTTGAGAGTCATGCAAAGGCCCCAGGGCATCAAAATAAGTTTAACTATAGTAGGACCCCTACCATGATTGAAAATATAGTCCTTGATTCAAGGATACTAGAACCCCTAAACCCTAAACCCTCAAGATCCCTTATAGATGTCTTAAAGGAACCGTTGGTGTTCCCTAGTTAAGGATTATTAGAGTCTCTGGGAACGGCCCGCACTAACCATCGGGAGCTCAGGGACTTGCTGACAAATACATGGGGGTTTCCGAAAATAGGGGGTACCTTATTTTGGGGTCCTTATAATAAGGATCCTACTATTTAGGGTACTACATATTTGGGCCCCCTATTTTCGGAAACCCCCACATACCCCCCAACGGCCCTCTAGAGAGCTTGATAGTGGGTATTTGGGTATAATAGAGGGTAGTTGGTGTCTAGGTACACGGGTCGGCATAGGTACTAACCACATTCTGTTGTAGTCCCCTCATGATCATAACAGGATATACCCAAACCCTTGCGAACCCTAAACAACCAAAACGTGTTTAAGCTTCCTTGCTATGTTGTTCCTGCCCCGAGACCCTAGACTCTAAACCCTAAGCCCAAATCCAAACCCGAAGCCCAAATCCAAAGCCTAGAGTTATTAGAAATTGGTGTTAAGGATCCCTAAACCCTGAACCCTGTTAAAGAATTCCTTCTTTTTATATAGAACCTACATTAAGGCTCCTAAGAGGGTCATGGGCTTTCTCGTGGAGGGTTTGGGCTTTCGCGGCTAAGGCTTGGGATCTCACTACGAGGGTCTAGGAGGAGCCGTAGAGCAAGGTTCCCAGACCCTCTAAAACCGCTTAATTAAGGAATATACCTAGGGTTCCTTAAAGGACTCCTTAAAGGGATCTATAAGGGGGTCTATAGGGGAATTATGGAATATACCTTAAATCATATTACGGATCCTACTATACTTTAAGGTATATTCCTTAATTAAGGGGTTTTGGAGGCTCTGGGTTTATAGCGCTGAACTCTGATCCCCGGCGCGCCTGTCTCGTCCGGTGGCAGGGTCGAAATGGCAGGAGCCGGCCAAGGCGATGGCTAACTGCGCCAAAGCGATCCTCGACTGCAAAGGTCTTTTGAAGGGCTCCTTAAACTACTAAACTTACTAAACCCTCCTTTTTTGTAGGTTCTTATTATGAACCCTGATATGAAATTTAAAGGGACCCTGCGAAAAAGTAGGTTAAGGCAGGGTTTAGGGGTTCATAGGGTTTAAGGGTTTGGGCTTATAGCTTCAGGCTTTGAGCGGTTTTACGTAAGGGTTTAGGGTTGCGGGTTGGGTCTAGGTGTTTAGGGTGTGAGGCGAACTCTCCAGTGCGAGAGACTCAGCTATCGAGACTCCCTTGCGGGTGTTGTGAGGGTTTGGGGCGTGAGGACTCATGCCAGGTTTGGGGAAATACAACGGTGCTTGTTACGCCCTTTAGCCGTTGCTATGCAATGCTCCTTGTTAAGCCCTCTTACCAAGCCGAACCTTAACACCTGTTTGGGGTACTACAATCCCTATCTAATCCCTATAGACCTTTTTGGGGTATTATAACCCCTAT